GTTGATTGCATTTTCAGAAAAATAAGATGCAGTCTGAAGGGCATCATCAAAAGATGGAATTGCTGCAATCTGCTCCCACCAGGATGCCATTAATAAATGTTTCTTTTGTGGCGCGCCTTTTCTGTTTCTCTTCTTTTTTCTCCTCTCCAGGCACTTTTCTTCCTTCAGATGACATCAAAAACATGCATAATTGGGATCCATCTCCTTCCTATAGGCTTCATTCATGGTTTACTTAGTAATGGTCTACTTAATTGATGCATATGGCTGTTTCTGATGATTGAACTTTCAGAAATGGATTGGCCATTGCGCCAGTTTAGTATGTATGCTTCATGTGGAATTTGCAAAGAATTTCAAAGAAAAACGCCACATAAGAATACGTGTTAGAAGTGATAATCACACAGACCTTGATGCACAGAAATGCAAGATGCAAATACATGTCACATCAAAAACCTGTCATTACATATAAAAGGAGAGATATTCCTGACGTTTCCTTCATCTGCTTGCGTTCCTCTAATGATGTCTGTTTTTTCACACCTTATCATTGCTTTTGCATGCGTCCTGCCATTATGGCTGATTGCAGGGCCAAAGAAAAGAGGAAATCAACAACATCTCATCTGCCCTGTCTGCCGCTCTGCTACCTTATTTCTCTGCCTGTTTTTTCGCTAGCTTAATACAAAGCATGCTTGACACTCTATGCAGATTTTGAAAAATGAAGGTGCCGTAAGATGTCAGTTTTTTGTTGGATTCATGTCATCTTTTAGGGAATAGGTGCTGAATATGCCATAAGTTGTGCATTCAGAGGGTGTTTCTGTGACTGAACCATGTAATCTCATTTTGAGATATGGTGAGTGTATTCGTCCTCTATTTACACTCATTGTCATGGCTGTGCTGTTGAACGATTGTAGCCGTTGTTGAGCAAATTATCTGCCAAATGATTTTCCCTTTTAAAGGGGTTTTTGAAAAGTTTAGTGTTACTGTTAGTTTGTATAACCTTTGCTGCAGTTTTTAAGTGAGTAATAAGTAAGGTAAATTAGTACGTTTTCTTTTTTCACATAGCCTCCATGTCATTTAAAGATTCAAAAATTACAAATAAAATACAATTATTTTAATCTATTATTTTGAGTCATTTTCGAAGAAAAATGTCCAAATTCTCTGATTTCAGCTTCTCAAATATTTTCTGGTTTCTGGTAGTCAAGAATCAAACTTTGGGTTGTGGACAAAGCAAGACATTTGAGGACGTCACCTTGGGCTTTAGGAAATATTGATAAACATTTTTAACCATTTTCTGACATTTTATGGATCATTGATCTGGAAATGATCGACAGATTGTTCAATCATGAAAATAATCATAGTTGCAGCCCTATATACTAAATATATACAGTAAATATTATATATTGCTATTTGTTCAATCACTACTATTCCCTGTTTCTTAAAAAACAGTACATTCCGTGTAAATTTGCATACATTGAAATACTGTGACTTCTATGTACCTTTCAGCAGGACATATTCTTAACACAGGAACATAGATCAGAGGCTACAATGCTTTTTCGCTTATAATGTTGTCAAAGATGGATATGGGCTTTGGGTCAGTGTTTGAATTAGAAAAAAATATGCCAGGTGCCAGACCGTGGGGTCAGGAGGACAGAGGATTTTGGAGGCAGAAGCAGAAATCTAAGATTGTGTGTAGCAGCACATTATTGCCTCCCCTCATTGCTTGTTTGGACAGTGAATGAGTTAGTGAACCAACACCACCCTGTGTACCTGCATATATTAGAAAGTGGCAGTATAATTAATAAGTTACGGTTAAACAGAAGTCTATTGTGCACATACACACTTGAAGCTGCTGCTCTTAGGATAAAAAGTTAGTTTAGGATGTTTGGAGATTAGATTTATAACAATAGATAGAGTTAATGCTTTCTAAAGTTCTTCATGCAGCAACATATACTCTTTTATTTGATTGTTTTTGTATAATTAGTTAGGGCTGTGTATTGGCAAGAATCTGCAGATACGATACATATCACATACAGGGGTTACGATTCAGTATATTTCCATATATTACAATACTGTAAGCAAAGTGATATATTGCAATTTTTAGGGACCGAGCCAGCGACCGCTGGAGGTCCCTATTGTTTTTGCTCGATTTCTTACCTATTATTATTATTTTTAGGCCACTTCGACTGCGTTTTTGCCCCCCTGAACATATACGAAAACTAAATTTTATTTGGCAAAGTGGTCAGGCCTGGTAAAAATTGTTATATTCTATGCGTCACTTTCAGGTCGGCCACTAGGTGGCGCTATTATCATAAAAAGTGCGTTTAGGCTAATAACTTCTGCATAGTTTGTTGCACATTCAAAAACCTTGTATCAACGCGTTCAGTGAATTTTTTTTCGTTAGAGCGCGAAAAGTCCTTAAACTACTTTTTTGTGTTCCTACACGCTTTGTCCGATTCGCACAAAATTTTACACTTAGCACCTGGGGACCGCCCTGGCTAAAAAAGTAATTCGAATTTATCGGATCTGCTTCAAAATTTGTCAGTACAGTCAAAAAATGTTGCTGATTAAAGGTTGTGCTATTTACGACATTCCGTCAAACCGAAGGGCGTGTCCGTGGCGTGCCGTCAAAGTTGGCCATTTTGAATTTTGCAGCCATTTTTTGCCCTGTATTTGAACAAACTCCTCCCAGGCAATTTATTGGACCAACATCAAAATTGGTCAGTACAGTTAAAAAACAGCAGCTGTCTACGCGCCAGTAGCTAGCCAACGTTAACGTTAGCCACCAACCCAGCACGAACAAACCGCACGGAGAGCCAAGACAGCCAGTCAGCACCACCGAAGTGCGCAGAGCCCAAGCCACACAACACACCACACAAACATGAAACCAACCTAGCCAACACCAGCACCCACCTGCCACTGTCTCCTCCATGAGCGACAACGGGGCGCCTCCGCCCCAGATGCTCCCACATTGCCAAATGGAGTTGGCATACCACACCAGCACAACAGCAAAGAGCGCAAATAACAACACCTTCACGTTTGGGACTAAATTTGAAGTATTCCCATACCTTCGATGATTTAGGGCAAGCTGTTTTTTTAGGACTTTTTTATTGGCGATATCAAGTTTTATAATTTTAAGTTCTACTCCTATCATTTGATCAGATCCAGCTCAAATGTGGTCAGAAAATGCAAAACATATGGTTGATATATTTATTTATGATAAGAGTCACATCTATGTGATCATATCCGGTAATAGTGGTAGCGCCACCTAGTGGCAACAGGAAGTTATCATAACTTCAGTGTACATGGTCCAATCTCAACAAAACTTCACATTTGACAAGAGTCCCGCCCTGAACACGTCTAAATGACAATATTCAGATATAGTGAGAGCGCCACCTACTGCCAAGAGGAAGTAAGCGCTGTGTGGCAATTTTGATCTGATTTACGTGAAATGTTCATGTTGTGGTCCGCACGTGTTACGATGGCACGTGATGCGGCCGCAGCATGCCCCGAGTTACGTGGAGTGCGAGGTCCCGCCCAACGCTGCTTGCAGCTTTAATTGAAAAATATAATTTTAGGAAAACTGTAATAGTATAACGAACACACTACCTTATGCATAATATCTGAGTTAAAATGCAAGTTAATGTGCACCTGGATAGCTCAGTGGGTAGAGCTGGCGACCCATGTACCGAAGCTGAGTCCTTGCTGCAGCGGCCCAGGGCTCAAATCCAACCTGCGGCCCTTTGCTGCGTGTCATTCCCTCTCTCTGCCCCCCTTTCCTATCTGTCTTCAGTTGTCACTGTAATAAAGACAATAAAAGCCCCCCCCCCCAAAAAAAGCAAGTTAATGCAATATGACTCCTTATTTGTCACTGTAGGTATACAGTGACATTTTGTTTGGTAACTCTCAGTGACTAGCAGCATCAATAAAATCAAGATAAAAAACAAGATAAACAAGGTGCTACGTCTACATTTGTATTTATTACAGTCCCTGTAACATCCAACTTCGTAGGCCTCAGTTATCTAGCAGTTGGGGTTTAAACACAAAAATTAATACAGTATTTTTAAGAATTGATATATCACAATATCACAAAACAAAATGTGATATTTTTCAATATTTTCATAAAACCCTATAATTAAAGAGGTACTTCACCCTAAAACGCGTTTTTTTTAAGCAGCTGGAGTTAAAAATAGCTCAACAAGCCCTCTACTGTTTTAAATCACTCTAAACTTTGTCCAATGCTGACATAGAGTCAACCGTTTGGTTAACGTCATGACATTTATATAAAAAAAACTGGTGAGGTGGGCTACCCTCTAATCAGAAGAGGGTAGCCCACCTCACCAGCATCCGCTTTGAGTGGGAGACTGTGAAACAAATGTATACTTATCAGGACGCATCATTTACTGGAGTTTATGCTAATTTTTGCTAACCCTCTACTGAAGGACTTATACTTTAGATGCTGTAGAAGACTGCAACCTTTCCCTTAATTCCACACTAAGAGTCCCCCAACAGACACAAACACATACCGAAGAGTTAGCCTCTCTGAGCTACAACACAACCGCTAGCTCAGCCACAAAACAGCCGTTAGCTCACACAGGTAGCACACAGAAGGGGACTCTCTGTGTTTCCACCACGGATCCGGAGAGTTGGACAGCAGCTACCCATGGCTGGTTAGTTCTGAATACCACCTTGCTCTTTCTGCTACATTGCTGTGGTCAGTCTGTCAATCACTGCGGCCACTGTTGGGGCCACGCCCCTAAAGTCAGTGATCTTTCCAGGTCTCTGATACATTTAAAAAATTTGCTGAGAGGGAGAGAGCCAGCAGAGTGTGTAGTTATACTTTAATTGTAAAATGTTGCTACGTTTTTGTAGGTAATGTAAACAGTGAATAACAGCACTTATAAAGGACTTGATTTTTTAAAATATAAAACACGTAGTACCCTGAAATAATTTGCAATAGAGTGACACTGATATTCGTGTTTGTTTCTCTCTGTGCGTCATCTCTGTAGTTAAACCGTCAGAACCGCTCTCTGAAGAGGAAGAGCATGATGCTGCTGTCCCACATCAGCCCAGAGACCATCACAGAGATCAACCTTGAGGATGAAGAAGACGAGGAGGAGAGTGAGGAGCTACAGGTAGCCAGCAATGTCTGCCTCTCCTCCCAGTGCCAGACCATCATCTCAGGTACGAATGTCTCTAACTCCACTGTTTCAGTTGTGATGTATGTCACATATTTACCAGTAAGTTATTGTAGCTCTAGCCTTGTAGGAACAGCCAAACTATTTTGAACATTGAGTTTGACAGCACAATGCCTACCTGTTATCAGCCATTGATAATGGTAGAGGGAATAGTATCTCCTTTACATGTCAGTGGAGTGCTACTCAAAGTATGAAAACAGTTGCATGATGTAAATGGACTGTACTTAGATAGTGCCTTTCTAGTTTTTTCGATCACTCAATGTGCTGTATACTACATGTCCGATTTGCACACATTCATACACTGATGGCAGTTGGCTGCCATGCAAAATGCCAACTTCTCACCAGAACGGTAACTATGCATTAACACACAGTCACACACTGATGCACAGCAAGGAGTTCAGTGTCTTGCTCAAGGACATGCAGTGAAAGGAGCCAGGGATCGAACCGCCAACATTCCAATTAGTGAACGACCCGCAGCCGCAGCCGCCCTGATGTCTGCTGCTATGTATATTTTTCAGTTTTCTACATTGAATTGAACTTATTATGAAAACTGCACATTTATAACAGAAACCCTGTGTTGAACCATATTAGGAATTCTGAAAACTGCGGAATATGTTCATCGACTGCATTTTTAAAATAATTTCTTTCTATAATATCTGCACATGGCAAATCTTGGTTATGGCAAATAAAGTGAAAAAGCAAATAAAACACATGGTTAAAGCCTGTCCAACACCTACACTATATTAAATTTTATTTGTATAGTGCCAATTCATAACAGAAGTTATCTCAGGACACTTTTCAAATAGAGCAGGTCTAGACCGAACTCTTTATAACATTATTTACAGAGACCCAACAGTACCACCATGAGCAAGCACTTGGCGACAAGGGCAAGGAAAAACTGCCTGTTAAAAGGCAGAAACCTAGGACAGATCCTTCGGCTCTAGGTGGGTGGTCGTCTGTCTCGACCAGTTGGGGTGAGAGAGAGAGAGACAGACAGACAGACAGACAGACAGACAGGTGCACAGCAACAACAGTATTGGCAATGGCAATATACTTGCTCTCAATTATTAATCCAGATTTAGGGCCTTAGGTCTTCATCAGATAAAATTCCTTTATAAATGAAGTCTGAATACATTTAACATAATGTAAAAAAAAAAAATCCAATAATTCGAATTTTAGGCCTTAAAATATCTTAAATATACTGGCGGAACACATTAGGAATAGTAAGGAAATACACAGCGTTACTTTAGGCAAGACCACTCACAAGATAGCATTATATGCTGATGATATTTTACTTTTTCTTTCCATCCTGAGGTATCAGTTCCTGCTACTATGTCAATAATCAACTAATTTGGTTCCAATCTGAGGCCATGCCCCTGGGGAATTACGGTAGCACAAGCTCAGATACGAATTTCCCGTTCAGGTGGGCTACTTCAGGCTTTGTTTATCTTGGTATTAAAGTGTCACCTAATGTTGAGGACCTGAGGAGACTTAATTTTGTGCCTACAATCAGAACAGTCAAGAATGACCTTGAGAGATGGCATGACCTTCCCATCTCCTGGATGGGAATCAGTCCTTTAAAGATGAACATAATCCCCAGGTTGCTTTACCCTATGCAGATGTTACCATTATGGTTACCAAAGACGGTTATCTTAGATCTAGGAAGGGCCTTTTCGCGATTTATTTGGCACAATAAAAGACCCAGAATCAGAATTAAGACTTTACAACTGCCAGTGGAACGAGGGGGCGTAGCCCTACCCAATCTGAGATATTATAACTGGGCCTGCCACACCCAAATAGTCTGGGACTGGCTCCAGTCTCATTTAAAATCTGAAGCGGGTATTGATGAATGGTTCTCCTCTCCCCACTCCCTACTGAGCAAACTCACAAATTATGGAAAAAAGAGGTCGCCAGACATTAAGCGTAACCCTATTATTTACAACACTATCAGAGTCTGGCAAGACATTACAAAGCATTTTTGGGCAAACGCTTCATCTTTTGCATTAACGCCTGTGACAAGGAATGATGAGTTCGCCCCAGGAATTAATAATAGTGTGTTTGATAGTTGGCATAAGAAAGGCATCAGGCTTATTTGGGATGTATACCAGGGTAATACACTGATGTCCTTTCAACAGCTTCAACGAAAATACAACATTGCATCTGAACACTTTTATGGGTATCTTCAACTCCGTAGTTTTATTCTGTCAAAGGTGAAAAATCTCCACACAGGCACTCCCTCTCTCAGTGATATAGATTTATTTATACTGAATTGAAAAGACACAAGACATTTTCTCTCTCATTCCTATTTGCTGCTCTACTCCTTAGATCCATCGGATATAAGGAAGGTGATACAGAAGTGGGAATGCGATCTTGGTGGGCAATTTATCGAAGATGACTGGCATGAAGCAATAGTCTCTACCAAAACCACATTTATTTGCAACCGAATGAGAGAAACCCAATATAAGATACTCCATAGATCCCACATAACACCATTCATTCTTAACAAGATGGATAACCGGACCTCTCCCCTTTGCATCAAATGTAAATTGTCTGTTGGGACATACATTCACTGCTTCTGGGAGTGTCGTTTGATTGTAAGGTTTTGGAGCAATGTAGACTAGGAATTGAGTAAAATTTTCTCACTTAAAGTTACAAAGGATTCTGGCCTATTCATATTACGTTTGCCTTCAAAACCATTATCTCTGAGCAGAACAGATTTTAAACTCTGTGACAAACTTTTGTTTCTGGCTAGGAGATGTATTATACAGCAGTGGATAAGTGACAAACCTCCAACTGTCACACAATGGTACCAAGAAACGTATGAAGTTTTACCCTTAGAAAGACTTACTGTGTGTGAAAGGGGATGATAATTTATTTCAGGGAACATGGTCGGCCTTTCTGAGGTACTTGCGCCCGCCCCTCCGGGACACTGTAAATAAGGGGAGATATGCTTTAGACTGGAATACTTCCACTGGAAGATTTATGTTATTATATCTGTTATTGCCAGTCTCTAGATCTCCCCTTCTCTGCTTTTGCTTTGATCCTATTTGTCTATCTACTTGTATATATAGTTTTGTTGTACTGATGGTTTTATTTGATTTATTTAGGTATTTTAAATTTAATTTTATTGTTTATCTGTTTTTATTTCATTTACTTATTTATTTTTATTAATGTCATCCACCCTGTTATTGTTATTGTACTTGTATAATTTATATTTTTACTTCCACTATACATGGGTGAGAGAAGGCCCAGTATGTGTATAGGGTGACTGATGCGACAGTTGGTGGTGGCGGTGGGACTTTTTATTTATTTATTTTTTTTATTTATGTATGTGTGTATGTGTATGTATGTTTATATGTGTTTATGTGTGTGTGTATGTATGCATGTATGTACATATATATATAAATATTTTTTTATTTTGTTTTATTTATTTATTTTTAATTTTTTTTTCTCTTTTGTTTTCTTCTTTTCTGCTACCTTTTCTTTATTTACTTATTGATTTATCTTTTAACGTTTTGCGGTAAGGACAGTTGTGAGCTACCTGAAGTCATTTTGGTTTGGATGGTGGTTTATTTTCCTTCCTTTTTTGATATTTTTGTGAATACAGAAAGCACTTGTATGTTGGTTATGTTCTATTTTGATAAAAATCAATAAAATCTATTGAAAAAAAAAATATATATATATATATATATTTTTTTTTTCAAAAATTATTTATTATATATATATATATATATATATATATATATATATATATATACATCTTAAATCTGATTTTGACAGGTCTTCTTACAAAATACAACAAACATGGAATAGATAGTTTTCCCTTTATATCCTTTGCATTTTTGTTGCCCGTATGGATGCAAAATAGGCATTAAGTTGCATTCATAATGTTCTTAAAAAGGTCTCAAAAGTCTTAAATTGAATATGTTGAACCCTGTCCATCAGTGACCATCAGTGTTCCAGATTCTTTGTTTTTTAATCATTTGATAATTTTGCTGTGCAAATTTTTAAAAAGTGCAGTCATCTGTATTACAGTAGCCTCAGTTGACATTTTTTTCAAAGTATATGCTGTATTTGCTAAATATATATATAAAGAAAATCTAAAATATAGTGAGCCAAAAAATTACTCACCTGTAATCTGATAAACTAGTAAGTGACTAGCAGTGTCACTTTGAAATGTAGTCAGTTACTGAATTCAAATTACTTACTAATTATTTTTGTTATTAGTAACATAATCGGTTGGATTACAAGAAAAAATTCTCATGGGGTGCAGCAATACAGCAGTGTATCTGGGAGCTAAACGGTGAAGTGCTTTATAGGTGATCATTAAAATCTTTAAATCAGTTCTAAAACTGACTGGAGGTGAAGTGAAAAGAGGCTAAAACAGAGCTGATATGATCTTGTCTTCTTGTGTTAGTTAAAAGAAAGCAGCTGTGCTCTGTACCAGCTGGAGAAGCGAGATGGCTTTTTGGCTTAACCCTGAATACAAAGAATTGCAATTGTCTGGCAGGGATGAATTTTTCAAGATTAGGCAGAGAGAGAAAGGACCTGATCTTCAAGATGCTCCTGAGTTGATAAAACATGTTTTAACAACATTTGCAATTTGGACACAGCCACAAAAATTCAAATATTTTCATGTCAAATAAAATTAATTTAGCTAATTCAGCATTTTCAGTTGATCAAATCAAATAACACCAACTGTCCTCTGTGATAATTGATGAATTTTTCCGTGTTGAAAATCATGGCAATCCCATGGTGTGTGTTGGAGCTCATTGGACAATGGAGTAACATGAGATTGCCCCCGTTCCCCATATCGTGATCTGTAGAGCCCAGAGGGTTCATAGAGAATTATCATGAAAAAAGTTTCATCCTTGACAATGTAACTATAAAGTAATTACACTTTTTTTTTAAAATGTCATCTGGGCTGAATATAGTTACTTATTTTTTGTAATCTGATTACTTAAAGGACCAGTGTCCTACAGTGGCTGCGAAACTCACAAAAACACAACAGGCCCTATCAAGAGCCAGTGTTTGGTTTGTGTGTTCTGTGTATTTTTAGCAAAATAGCAGTTCAACATGGTGGCCTCCTTGGAAGGCGACCTGTAGCATCTGTAGATAGAAACGTCTCATTCTAAGGTAATGAAAACATAATCATTCTTATTTTCAGGTGATTATACAGAAAAAAACACACCTATAAATATTATATTCCATTTCTGACAATAGATCCTCCTAAATGTTACACACTGGAGCTTAATCCTGATTACATGTAATCAGTTACTACCCAACACTGTTAACTAGTAACTACATCCAGTATATTCTGTGAGTCTTAAACTATGTTAAGTACAATACTAGCGAACTACTTCCAGTTTCATCCAGCTGTCCCTGGGAAATGTCACGGTCAGTTCCTTTAGTCAACCAGTAATTATACCCCGGGTGATAATGGATTCATACTCCATAATGCTTTTCTCATCATGATGTTCGAGGCTGCTGGCATTAAAAGCGAGAGATAATCATGTCATTTGCAAATGATATACTCGGATGTAGAAGATGATTGAATACAGAAATAAGTTGACTTGCTCAAAGATTGTGGGCTTTTTATGTTGAAAATTCATAATTGCATGTTAATGGACAGCTAGTCAAAGCACGTCCTGTCAGGGAACACATGGGATACTTGCATTCTACATGTTTTCACTTTTACCATATAAGGTTTAGACTGGATATGATCAAACGACATCTGTTTAAATTCTGAGCTGAGCCCAATCACAGTTTTGTCCATTAGAATACTTGTCCTACTTAACAAAGGGCATTCCATCTCTCCCCAAAAACAATTTCAGGTGTCAGCAACCTTTTTTTGCTTAAGTACCCCTCTAAATGTCTCAGCTGGGTCCTGCTGTGAGCTGCTTTGTGTTAGAAGATTTAATCTGTGTGTAATTTCAACGATTTAAGAACAAAAGTGTTTCTCAGATTTCCTGGACACAGAAATTCCTACATTTTAGTGTGAGGCAGATGAGTGACTTTAGTTCAGTACAGTCTGTTGATGCTGCTATTGCTTTTTTTATTCATACCCATTAAATTTTGTTTTGCAAACACATATCACAAAGAAAAACATGCATGGCTAATGCAGTATATTCTACTGTTGTTCTAAGATTTTTACTGCTGTTCTGCTGTAAACACATATATGAAATATTCACAATGTAAAGGCAACTCAAATCTTGTACTTCATCACATGCTGGCCTCTCATATTCAGTTACTGTGGTATAACCAAGTGTGAACATAGTGTGACATCACTCATTGTTTTGTGGAATACCGTTCTGAAGCCTCAAGTTTGGCCTTTTGGCCGTTGTCATTGCGGTTTTTCGGAGCCAGCAGTGGTGACATACTGCAAGTTCAGCAGCACTCATTGTCTGTCCATAGCAGGAAACAATGGCGGCTCACCTAGTCACATATGTTCTTGTATTACAGCTGAACACTACACTAAAATATGTTTTTGAAACTATTACAGCGCAGTAATAGAATCTTGCTTCATATTTGATCAGCACTGCCTAGTTTGACAGTTTGATCTGAGTTTGGTGCGTTGAGCTGGACGGACTCACTGAGCAAGGTGGCTGCACCTTAACCCATACCCTGCTGTCTGTTTTACTCTAAATGGAACCATAATTTACCAAATTAACATCATGTTGTATGGATGAAGACTGAAACTAGAGATTGAGACCATAAACTCATTAGGAAACTTTTTCTCATAAATCAAGTGAGAAGAAGGGTAATTTCTCCAGAAGACTCAATACTATTAGACTTCTTCTTTGCAGCCCATGGAGCTGCACCATGCCGGCCATTAGAAATTGGCTTTACTTCACAGACAGCTCTGTCCACTAATTATATACTGTCAATGGATATAACTGGTATTTCCTGAACATTGTATCTAGGCCAATCACACTAACCTTGGTTGTACCACAGGTTATATTATTACAGCCGATGAATATGATGCATAATATTTAGTCTTTGAGTCTTTACATACTCAAAATAAAAATGTAATCCAATCTAATATGTAATAAGGAACACTGTTGAACACTGCTTTGATTTTCTATGTTTCAGAGCTACAAAATAAGTTAGAGGTGACACTAAAGGAGAAAAGTCAAGCAGTCACTGATCTTGAGGCAGTAAGAGAACAACTGAGAGAAACCAGAGAAAAAGTAAGTTTACTTTTTTGTTTTGTTTTTTTTCCATTCACAATATGTTTTTGTTCTATGTCAGGGGCAAGGCTATCAAATTGTTGAAAGCTAAGTGATACTAAGAGTTTCAACCTGCAAGGTATTCGGCAAGTGAACTTACAAGTTGCAACTGGCAGATAGCCTCTTCTCTTCCTTTGTAGCTGTTTTAGTCCTGCATCTGTGCCCAACTGGGGTCGGATGTGCACATTATCCACCTTTTTTACTAAGAGAAGGTGGGCTTTTAACCCCAGTCAGCAGCCAAATTTAAATGAATGAGATAAATTAGCATTGATGACAGTAAGGGCACCACAATATCTTTTTACTAGCAAGGTGATGTTTTTCTGAGGTGCAGTGAGTTTTTTTTTGCGTCAACAGTGAGAACACATTTTTGTGCTGTTTTCTCACTTTAGGTAGCGTGACTTGGCTCTTTGTATGTTAGATTTGTCACAGCAAAGGTAATCTCTGTAAAGTATGTTTGAGTGGACTCATGTCGAGAGCAAAACAGGCGGAACGCATTGGCCGAAAAGCAATATTTCAAAATATTGGTTATTGTCTGACAGTTTAGCTTTTTATTAGCTTTTTTAAATGATTTATCTACATTTATATGCAGGCATCTGTTTATAGAGCTTAACCAAAATGTGTTCTCGTCATTTTTGTGTATGAAGTTGCTAATTGGACTGCAGAGGAAGTCTCGGCCCCTTGACACTGGAAGCCTCAAAACATTAGCATACATAGCTGTTGCATCCAGTGGCTAAATCATTAGCTCACTCAGGCTTCACTCCTCAGCTGCAGTGTCAACTTATTCAAGCTACAAGGTTACTTGCTGGTCGCCAGCGGTTCACTGATGGCTCACAGCTTGGTGTTTCAGTTCATGTAGATTAACAGATGAATAAATTAAAAACCTGTTGCGGTCTGGAAGGTTTGAAAGAAAATCACTGTTACAGTGAAAATAGTGACTGTAAATAATCACCCTCAATGTCATGTCCATTTTGACAGTAACAGTGAAACATAAAACAAACTGTATTTCTATCTCTGTATCTATTCTCTACTCTGTCCCTTCTTATATTCGCAGCTGCTGAAAGAGAAACATGATAACACTGTCTTAATTGCTGAGACAGTGCAGCAAAAGAAGCTCCTAGGGAAATATAACAGAGGTATGAGGGGTTCATAATGTGGACTACATTTTTTAAAACATTGTCACTATTAATCTAACATGAAAAATGGTAAAATGGGCACTAATCAAGAGCATTTGATTACAGTAATTACACCACGGTATCACAAGTAATCGATTGTTGATATAGTGTAAATTGCATGCTGCACTTTACTGGTAAAAAGCATAAATGACCCAATGTTAAAATCCTTGTCCAGTGTCTCAGTTCGCTGTGGAGGAATTTGAGGCCTTACAGGACACCTTGAACCTGGAGAGGGACTTGAGGACAGAGGCAGAGAACTTTGCCAGAGCGGTGTGTTTTTTACAATGTTTGATGATTTTCATCCTGCTGTTTTGTCCCTTGCAACAATGTATCCTCACTCTCTTTCATACGGGGGAATATCCATTTTCCTTTTGATCCTTTCTTCAGATGGTGGTTGAACAAAAGCAGCTGAAGAGACAGAGTCAGATCCTGATGCAGAGCTCCTCACCCAGTCAAGCTCTGCAGGAAGCCCTTAGCCGGGTCACCAGACTGACTCAGGATCTGGAGACACAGAGGCTGGAGCATCAGCACCAGGTCTGTGTACACAACTCATGCACACACTCAAGAATCATTTGTAGATGTAACATCACATATAGAGCTAGGCTTTTTTGATTCTTGATTGGGTATGATGGACATGGAAGAGGAAATGGTGAATGCAAGCATCTTTACAGAATGTAAGCTCCACAAGGATGTGGAAGTTAAGGTTCACTATGAGACATTTGGCCCGCACATGAATAACTAATAACCATTGTAATTTGGGTACATTTCGTCTTTTTGGTTTGAAATTCTCAATGTCCAGTTCTCTTAAAGGTGTGTAACATTTAGGAAGATCTATTGTCAGAAATAAAATATATTATTCATAGGTATGTATGTTGGAAGAGTCGTTTTTATCACGAGCGCCACAGGTTGCCACCGTATTAAACCACCATGTTTCTACAGTAGCCCAGAAGGGACAAACCAAATACTGGCTGTACTGTTCTGTTTTTTGTGGCTACCATAGTTTCTTCTACACACTTCACAGCCCGTTCTTTCATGTAATACAAGGAGAATAATTTACAGTGGGCTTTTTCTGGATGTGTGAAAATAGGGGAAAAACAGGGAAATTATGTGCCTATCTGTGAGGAAACAAATGTGTGTTTTTTGCACAAAATGTAAAGTCTTTGCTGTATGTTTTAGAGCCATTTTAAAAGTATGAAGTATATATTCATGATTATCGTGATAATATCGTTTATCGCAATTATTTTGGCCGAGATAATTGTGCTGTGAAATTTCATATAAGTAACCCATCCCTTTACACATGTAATGCATCAAAACAAGAATTATTTATCTGCTTAATTACATAGAGGGGAAATGGCTGCTGAATTATTACAGGTCATGATAGTTAAACCTAGGGGCCATGACCTGCCAGATTAATAATTAAAAGCAGCAGTGAATCCTCCAGCTCCCTCCCACCTCATCTGGCACTGATGGAAAACAATTAGAGTTGAGTGGGATCACTGATCTCTCCCAGTGCTGGGGTGGAGGTGAGCCATACCCTTCATTTGAGGAACAATTAAAACACTGGTTAAGGAACTGAGGATGGGGAGTGGATGACTGAACGTCAACTGGAAGCTACCCAATGCTACTTATCAGAAATCATCATTGCAGGAGCTGCAGCCACCACAGCCAGCACAGTGCTGCAGAGCTGCTCTTTTTCAGCAGAAACCTTTAGTTAATCACTGAACATTTTTCACATTTTGTCTCTTTAAGTATATAAGAAGGCACTCTCCTTTTAAATGTACAATGTGTTATTTCTGCCAAAAGGGGGTCTCTCAAAATAATAACAAAAGGCTATGTTTGATGACAATGTGAAGCAGTGTGGGATCATGAGTTGTTGTCTTTACCACCATTGCTGTCATTGCAGTCAGCTTCTCCCGGTTAGGATTCCTTCAGTGTTCATGGTTCAGGAGGTTTCTACCGGGAGCCCAGTTATCCACTGAGGTCTCCTCCTCTCCAAAACAAACTGCGAGGGGCTGCGAGCCGAGCTAATGCTAACGTTAGCTCAGCTTGTTTCTCTGATAATTCAAGATCCAGACGTCCGATGACTAAAACCCTTCATCCGGTTCAAATCTAAAGTTAAAAAGCACCAAGATCTAAACAGTGGATGGTAACAATGTGGCTTCAAACTGGATCAACAGTCAATGTATGACAGCTTCTGGCAGACAACCACAACGCTGACGCAGGCACAAAGGGGATATGACGCCATCGACAGGCGACCGGTGAAACGCAGCGTTTATCAGAATAAAATAACAGATTTCTCGGAGTTTGAACATTGTTAGGAACATTTGGGATAATGGAAGTACACAACTACAACTACATATAGAACCTGGCTCTAGTGTTTATAGACATTTTAATGCGGAAATCTTATATATTATGGCTTTAAGGTCACCCACAGAACATTCTTTAAATCAAATTATCTTGTTTCTGAAGCTCTTGCCAGTTCTCTCTTGTTCTTCTTCTTTATTTTCTGGCATCATGATTTATGTGCAGTACCTGGCAAAACAAGGACATTCTCTGAAACATTAGCAGTTAGCTTGGATCAATACATTTCTCAACTAATGTGGCTAATCCACCCACAGTGCACTTTTTGACATTTTGAATTTGCTACAAAAAAAACGTGGGATGATGCAAGGACATAAGGTAATTTAAGGTCATTTTACAAGGCAGAGTTGTATAATGAAATTCAGGTTGTAGTTCACTTTACACGTACAGCAAGTTTAATAAATAAGTAATTAAAAACTATTGCATGATGGAGTTCTGTGGATGAATTTAGCAGTCCCAAAGCCTGAGGAAAGAAGCTGTTCTGATGTCTGGAGGTATGGCAGCAGATACTTCTGTTGTGATAAAAACATGCAGCAGGCTGTACAAATGTCTGTGTGCTGTGGTTGGTACGTCCTCAGATAGAGCAGATCGAAGACAGGCTGAGGAGCTGTGAGACTCAGAGGGAACTGTCTGCATTGAAGCGTAAACTGGAGCTCATGGAGGAGGAGAAGAGTGATTACAGTGACAAATGCTCCAAGGCTGAAGTGGAGGTCAAGGATCTGCGGTTTACAGGTGAAGACATATTTGGAACACTAAGGACAGGATGCACTGTGGGACATTAAACTGTATGACAGGACGATATGCAGAATCAACACTGTAGAGGGAGCAATGTGTATGTGTGTGTGTGGGCTCCAGCAACAGGCCCCATTTGATTTATGTATGACCATGAGATTCTTTTCATAGTTTTTGTCAACATGGAAGACCATTTAGTTGTCAAGTCTTCTTGACTATAATAGTTTATTTTTCTGTTGGCGGTGCTGTTGCTGTGTGTGTACTGTAACGGGATGTGTTTCATTGGACAGTTGAGGAGCTCCAGAAGAAGCTGCAGGCAGCTACCAATCCTCCCCCAGCTCCAGCACCTCCGCCTCCCCCACCACCTCCACCTCCTCCGGCCCCTCCAGCTTCCAACCCGCTCAGGTTTGATCACACAGCGTGCTCTATGTATCATCAGTTAGGGCTTTGTTTTTGATACACCTTTCATACAATGAAATGACTTTGCACCATTGACTGTATATATAGCTTTGCACACTGAAACATTCTGGCTCCGAGGTTCTATAGACATATGTATAATAATATGTATATTTTTTTACGTTTTTTAATCGCAATCACAATCAAACTGTAGGTCACTACTAAAGTATGACTGCTGATAGATTACGAAATATCTTGTAGTGTGTGACCACCCTATTTCTGGTCAGTTACATAGTGTGCCAGTGTGTCTTTTTCCTTTTATTTGTTAATGATATACGTGGTACATTGATGACATTTTGTGACAGTTATTAGGGTCAGTGTGGGTAATGTGAGTGTGTGTCTATTGTGGGGTAAGGAAGAAAAATAAAAATAAATTGTATTTATAAAGTTCAAAGATTATAGTGATAATAATTATATCATGTAAAAACAATAGTGTTATTATAGTAAAATAATATGAATTAATACTATAATAATCCTTTCAAAACAAAGTATAATATTGATATTATGACAGTATTTCTGTGTGACCAAAGCTTTATATATATGTCTCAGGTTTACCATTTTTAATATTATTGAATGTGCTTTTGCAGCAGGAAGCAATATTTGGATGCACACCCATAAAATATTGATGAAAATCTCTTAGAATTAATCTTCTCCTTTTAAAAAAATCAGATTTTTTCTGTAAGCACCAAAACAGCCATCTAATGCCATTAGACAACTATGAACATGAATGTAAATGGTAAATGGTAAATGGACCTGTACTTGTATAGCGCCTTTCTAGTCTTCCGACCACTCAAAGCGCTTTTACACTACATACCACATTCACCCTTTCACACACATTCACTAAGTGATGGCAAAGTTGAACAGAAACTAACTCATTCATACACTGATGCACAGCATCAGGAGCAATTTGGGGTTCAGTATCTTGCTCAAGGATACTTCGACATGTGGCGGGAGGAGCCGGGTTTTGAACCCACAACCTTCCAATTAGTGGATGACCCACTCTTCCTCTGAGCCACAGCCACCTGTGTCTGGCACTGTGGGCCTTTAGTTGGCCTTTATCAGCTGATATCACCAGTCCAGCATGTTGAATTGGCACTGACTGTCTGCTTAACTATCTGGTTATAACTGTATCGTTGTTTTTGTTTTTTGTTTTTTTTTGCTGTTATAATAGGTAAGTGAGAGAAAAGTTTAAAATTGTGACATTCTGGTTTGCATGCAACAATGAAAAGCTATTGTATAATTATGATTAAAACCTTGCTAAACAAGCTGCCTAAACAATCTCCATTTGTGCCTTCCCCTTAAGTTCGCTGTTGTCATTGATCCGAAAGAGAAGAGATGTTAATACTGACATCCCACTGGTGGACCAGGACTCTGCCAAGACACCAGGTACACATCTAACATTCACAAAATGTTATGCAGGGCTTTCCACTTGGATTGTCTGGCAGTGTCCATTATTTTTCTAGCATACAGTGTTACCCGATGCAGGCCTTTCTTGTTTTACAGTAATGCACCAGCTGAGCCAGTAATGCACCAGCATTGTAAGAGTTTAATTGTATTTGGTTCTTTCTACAACAACACAACCAGCTGTCAAAAACACAAGTTTTGAAGGTGATAGTGAGCGCAGAATGGAAGAGAACATTAAGAAGAACAAGTAAGATGAAGACTAAAATAGAGAACAACAATTACCCTGCATGCTCAGCTGAAGGACTTTTCCAAAAAGTGTGAATGCTCTGCTGTGTTTGGCTGTGAGAGCTAGAAAGGGAAACGGACCTGTCACATTCTTCTGTGTCAGGTAAGCTAAACAAAAAGTGGCTTAAATATGGCATCAAGTTGAAGTCACAGTGTCACATGATCCAGACACCAATAGATCAAAAAACTCAGTCAGACAGTCTAACTATGTCCAAATATCTGTTGAAATGTTATGTTATTTTTTTGTAATTATTTTGTATAATATTAAATCCCCTCCAGTCAGAAATATGTTGTTCCTATAGTGTAATGTCTGATCTTCACTGTGCAGAATGATGTATGTGCAGAGTCTGACAGTAGGATTTTCACAGTCATCTGATGAAAGTGGAACGTTTCTCTGTGCTCACTGAAAATCTGATTTTAAAGATCCAGTGTGCAACATTGAAGCATCTATTGGCAGATATGTAACATAATATTCATAGTTATGTTTCATACGTGTATAATCACCTGAATATAAAACATTTTGTGTTTTTGTTACCTTCGAGTGAGATGTTTTTATCTACAGACCATCACGTTTCTACAGTAGCCCAGAATGGACAAACCAAAAACTAGATAGAGGCATTTGCGAGTTTTGGGGCCATCTACAGGCTTAGAAAGTAAAGGTGAAGCAAGTGAGTTATGATCTGTAACTACTCTGCTAGATACTACTAAATCCTACAAACTGGATCTTTACAAGCATGATTTGTGACAAATAGTTTGGAAGTCAGTCCTGGTCCAGTATTTGTACAGTGTGATGTAGAAACTTGAAGCCACCAGTGCACATCCACTGAGAATGGACTTTACAGTGAAGTAGGAGACATCTTGTGTCCAGCAGGAAAACTTTAGAAATGAACAACATTTGCATATTCAGAGATTTTGGAATGAGGCAGAAGACTTTTTAAGGATTTGAATGTGGAAATTCTACTTTTTTTGTGGAAAAACACAAAAAAAACACACATTGTTGTTCCAAGCAGACTTTTTGTATGTGTCATTATGCATGTCTTGTGGGGATCTTTACATATATATTAAATATACCATAACCATTGACAGTATGTAATTAGTGACCAGGGCTTCTGGATATGTGAAGTGAAGTCAAAGTGTCTTAAACCTGCATTCTTTCTAATGGCCAGCAGGGGGAAGCTCCATGGGCTGCAGAAAAAAAGTGCACAAATTAGCCATCTTCTCATTTGATTTATGAGCTCAGTAAACAGAATGAGTTTATGGTCTCAGTCTCTAGTTTCAGTCTTCTTCCATACAGCATGATGTTCATTTAGACACTGATGGTCCCATTTAGAGTCAAATAGACCATAAAGCAGGGTATGCTTTAGGGCGGTACTACCTTGCTCATTCTCAGTGAGTCCGTCCAGCTCAACGCACCAAACTCAGATCAAACTGTCAAACTAGGCAGTGCTGATCAGATACTCACAGTACGTCTCCACCACTGGCTCTAAAAAACACCATGGTGAAGACTATAAAGCCAAACTGGACACTTCAAAATGGGACTCCATAAAGCAATGGGTGATGTCAACTGGACAGGCACAGCTTTATAAAAATTATGAGCTATTTTCAAAATATGATAATTGTGCAGTTTTAAGTATTCCACCAACGTACAGATGGATGTAATGATGATTAAACAGTATAAAAAGAGAGTTGGGGACTGAGGAGTTGTTCTTATCTTATAACTGCAAATATTACATTTCATTGTGTTTCAGTAATTATGTAAGTAAGTATGATCTGTTGTATTCCAAGTGACACAGTGGAAGAAGTGTTGCCTGAATGTCCATATTCTGGAACTCATACTCTCTCAAAATCCAGACATTCAGTATATCCTTTCTGTCTCTGTGCGACGTATGTTCATTTTGTATTTTATTCTCTCCAGGGCTGCTATTTCTCATGCATGTCAGCGAAGGAGAACTGGTCTTCTTCATCCTATTTTTGCCTTTCTGATTTTATTCTTTTTGCCTCTTCCTTTGCAAATCTAAGCCACTTTTGTGTAGAAGGACAAATGTTGTAGCAAGTGGTGCATGAGAAATTCAAACTCAAATCTCCATCATTGGCCTATTAGGTCAACATGTTAAATTCTTCAATTTGTGCAAACAAAAAGGCAAGCCTTGACTCGTTGGAGCAGGTAGGACGTCCATGTTCACTGAACAGGCTATACTGTGTCTTCATTTCGTTAAATAGTTTTTGAATATATGAGGCCTGAATTGGGCACTACGCACAGGGTATTTGTTGGAATTACATACAGGGCTGAATAGGCGGCACCCAAGGATCTTCGACTCTGACACCTGAATAATAGTCTCTTTCTGAGCACCGGAGGAAAATATTTTACTATCACTTTAACACAAAATAGTTTTTGTGTGACATTTTAAAGACATTTTACTGACAATAGTTCCATTGTGTATGCCATTGAATGTTTTATGTTGGAAAATTAAATATTCACATTTCTTTGCCAATGGGCTGCATTATTACAGAATTCAAATTTTTGTTCCCATCTTTTGTGAACTTGAGAAACTCTCTTATCCTCGCAGAACTTTTGGATGAAAAATTGCTGAATAGTGTTTGTGTTTTTACACAGAGTCCAAATTCATTCCAGAATAATTTTGGCAACCTCACACACTACAAAGGCTTTGAACTCTACAGGTGTACTTTGAATACTACAAAAAAAAAGTGGCCACAGCAATGATTATTAACTGTAGCTAAATCCACCCTAAAACAGGATTCACCCTGGTACAGTTCAGTCGATATCTGTGGCATAATTAAGAGTAAAAACCTGGAGTTTCTCCAACAAAAACTTTATTGATTGGTCCTGGGGGCTCGTGTCATTTTTAAGCTTTTACATCCAAATGAGCTTTATTTCAAGTGCAGGGCTAATGATGGCTGTGAATTACACAGTGCCTCATACCTCTCAAAATCATTTAAACTCACTTTGGTTCTTGGCACTGTTTCCCAGCCACACTCCAATTTGGTATCAGCAAAGCTGCTAAATACTGTGTTGAAAAAGGAGCTTGAAGCTTGGTGATAAAATCTTTGTCCCTGTTGCTTGTTGTGTGTATCACTCCCAGAGGTGGACATCAAGCAGCAGGCAGTGGAGGAAATGATGCAAAGGATCAAGAAAGGCGTTCAACTACGGCCTGTCAGCCAGTCACCTAATAGGACCAGGAGACAGGTAACTTAAATGGTGTATTATCCTGACAATATCTGCCATCTGCTGTGTTTTTGACTTTTAAAAGTCCAGTGTGTAGGATTTAGTGGCATCAGATTGCAAACATTTGAATACAGCTCGCCTTGCAAGTGTTTAGGAGAAACTACCAAACTCTTGAAAAACGTGAAAGGCCATATCTATAGACAGTGTCCATTCTGGGCTACTGTAGAAGCATGGCGATTCAACATGACGGACTCCAGTTTGCGCTGGCATACCCCTCTGTGTGCTGAGTTTGGTTACCTTGATGTGGCTGTGTTATGAATTTTATCTCCACTACGGTTGTCACATTTTCAAAAAATCAACTAATATGTAATTTGCAACCTGTGTAGCATAGTCCTACACTTTATTTGTTCATTTCACTAGCAAGGACAACCCCACTCATTTAATATTGCTAATAAGTATTGTAATGTGATTATAATAGTAATAGTTTTCCTCCTGCTTTAACTTTTCATGCTGTTATGCTAAATGATATAATCCAAAAACCTGTTGATATCCCTGTCTTTCTAAATGTTTAATAGTAGGTGTGTTTCTCCTTCCGACCAAAAATGTGAACTTTTCTTCTGTGTGTGTGTCTCTACTCAAGCCTGTTGGCTAGTTAGTTTGTTTACAACACAGAGCTGACCGTAAACAGGCAAACCGCACTAAAAACCCAAATGAGACGCATATTCTGAATGCACTGTATACTATATAATATTAGCATATCCCACATGTCTGAATTAGGAATATCGAAAGAGAACATGTTGTTTACATGACCATTATCATATGTGGAATATTGTCATATTGGGAAAGATGGAAAATTAGATTGCATGTAAACATAGTGGAGTGAGATGTCTGCCAGTAGCTGGAGATAAATATTAGTCTGTAAGGTTGATGGATCTTAGTGGTGAACTAAAACTTGAGAGATAAATATGCTGCCACTGGTTTCCCACCAGCACACACACACACACACACCACTGTGAAACTCCAGGTGTACCCAGTGTCTGCAGGAACACAGGAAGTGATGTGTATTACATTCACTATTTGTTTGGACTAAACAGAAGAATCGGTTCGTCAAAAAGACAAAGAAAACAGCGGCAAGTTGGTAGAAAAGTCCCGTAGAAAATGCAGAGATGTCTCACGCTGAATACTAAACACCGTAGACAGAGGACATAAAAAAAGTCATCAAAGGAATTGTGTGTGTGTGATTTGTGCTGTGATTGTGACAGAAAATGTGCTGTTATCTTTGTTGAAATCACCAAACTAAAGCCCCGGCTGCAGACATCCAGTGTTCTCGGGCCTGAATGAGTTTTTAATACATTGTAGAGTGTGCATTGTTCAGTGCTCTTAAATCCATCAGTGTGTGGGATTATCTAGGAGCTGCTTGTTTTGATAAAACATGACATATGGCCAAGACATCTCTTAGTCTGTGTGTTCCTCCACCACAACATCTCAGCCAAATTAGATAGCATTAAGACCTGCTCCACAAGGTAATTATAAATAATGAGGATGGGAAAATTGACGTGACTCAAAATGATTGTGTTTACACATTTGCTTCTTGTAGAAAGCATACGTCCTCGTGCTTCCTTACAGTGTCTCATCTCTGTGGTAAGAGGTGCAGTTTAGCCTCTAAGTGCTGAATGAGGAAAAATAAGTATAATGTGTCAGACTGCTGTTTATTTACCAAACCCATCTTTTTCCTCCTATTTTCCTTTTAGCAGATGGAGAGGCTGCCCTCTAATTCTGCCTATCAGCAACTTAAAGGAATCATGGTAATGGGACTTTAAAACAATCAAATGTCCTCACAAGCCGTATTTTACTGGCTGAACTTTCAGCGTGTTTACGCAGGAGGGGACACTTTATTGTCTCCACTGTACATGCATGTGCTTACATCAGAATGTAATGTTAAAATATGATCAAATTCAACAAAGGTTGGCAAGTTCTTCATGTTTTACCGAAGACAAAGTACTACTGTAACATTTAAAGCACTAAAGTACATTTACATGCTAGTTAGAAGAAAAGCAGATTAAATGAGCACATATTCTTGTCCTTCTAAATATTCATTCACTCCAGTTAAAGTCAGACAGTAAAAATAACTGCTTATTTTGAGCTGTATTTTGCAGCTCTCTTGTTCCTGAACCAGCTGTCTATATGTATGCATGTGTTTTTGTTGAAACCGTGCAGGAGAATTTCAATAGATCCTCCCCCCAACCGAAGGCAGAGTCTCCATCAAACAGCCAAGATAAGGAGCTGCAGAGGATCCTGCTGAGACGGCGGGACGCACTGGAGTCCCAGCACAGTAAGTTTTATCTCCTTCAATCCTCACTTGTATATATAATAAAGATCTTTCCAAAGACAGGCATGACATAATCTTTTTTGTTGCTAATGCATGAATCCTGATGAGATGTCTGTTTTAGTTTATCCAGTGGTGACCAGTTTTACTAAGTAAAAGTACAATTACTCCTATAGAAAATAACTCAAGTAAAATGTTTAATTCAATACTTGAAGTAAAAGTTCCTTTACATTTTAATAATTTTTATGATTTTCTACTACTGCAACTATGGAAGTAACTTTAATACCGAAGTTGGCATTACATTATCTTAAATGCCTTCTAAAGGACACCAATTTAAAGCTGCAGCAGGGGTGTGTCCAGAGGGGGTTACTAAAATCTGATTGGCCACCCCATTATCCTCTTTCAGAGGTTGTAGCGGTGTTTTAAACCTAGAATGAAGATACTGACCATTGGTTCTAAATTTTGGCATTGCAAAAACTTGCATGGTCATTTTCAAAGGTTTCCCTTTTCAACATATAGTGTATTTGAATATTTCTGCATACTGGGGTCCATAAACACTATTAAAATTGCATAAGTTAACATTAACATTAATGTTACACAGGGAAATGTTTGCTAGCTAACTACATTTTCACCTACAGTGTGCACCACTTACTTCACTGTGCCTGTAGTGATGGGAATTTCCACTCTTTTCAGTGATCCAAATCATTTGACTCAGCTCAGGTTGGGCTGGACAGAATTAGATTTTAAAAATGTATATATTTTATTAATAATACATGCAACTGTAACTAATGAGTGAATTTGTTATTTATTAGTTTTGATAATAATTTACAGTTAATTATTTAAAAGAAGTTTACTTTAGCTTGTACTTAACTTAAATTTAAGTTATTTATTTATTGATTTTAAACTTCCAATTTTAAAACTGCTTCCGTGGTTTGGCCGCAGTTTGGGCTCGCACAGAATTCTCAAAACTCTTATCACGAACAAATCTTTGTTTAGTATCATTTATGGCTTTTATAATTCAGCCAAATCTAGCAAGATTTTGACCTGTGATTGGTATATATGCACATATATCACTTAGATTATTCAATGTATTTATGCTAAACCTTATCATTTTCAGAATACCATAATGTTGCATTATTATGGTATTAAAACCTTAAATAATAAAATAAAAAAACAGCAAACACTATTACACATGTGTATCGAATGTTTTACTTACATTGAATGTTTTGGACCAGTGCACCGTTTCTGGATTGTATTAAACAAATAAGATATAGGTCATTGTTTTGTATTAGTTCATTAAAAAAAGAAATCAGTCGGGATCAGTCCCATCATTTCACTTCAAGAAGCCAGCTTGTTCACTAACGAGGATCACCAGGTTGTGGAGTTTTTAAGAGCACAGAACTTCAACCACTTCATGTAACTGTTATCTCTTAAGAATTAGTTTTTTATCAGTCATCAAAACTAATAAATAACAAATTCACTCTTTATTATTATTATTATTTACAAACTGCCTTTGTTCTGGGTTTCATCACTTCTTGGTCAAAAGACAGGTGGAGATTATTTTTCTTCAGGACAGCTGCAGTAGAGGAGCTCCTCCCGCTCTCCCCTCCTACCCTTAATCCTGCTTTTACAGCAGACTAGTAGTGATAGTGAAGCAAATATAGCAGAGTTATCGATAAAGTAAATTGATTACTGGCTCAAAAAAATACTTGAGTAAAGAGTAGAAGTAGAGTTTAAACATGAGAAAAACTCATTCCTTAAAAAATGAGTTTTACTCATTTGTTACTTGTAATCGTTTACCTACTGAAGCAACATAATGTAACACCATCCTGTCACTCATTATGCTCCAGTGACAGTCATCATTGTCCCTCTGACCTGCTGCAGTGTGAGTAAAAAGTGAGCGATTGTTTGAGAGAGTGTGTGTCTTTTTGTGCAGGTCCCCATCCCGTCCTGTCCCCTGCAGTGTGAGGACTGTCACCAGGCTGAGGTTCTACCTGAGACTGGATGTGACCAACGGAAGATCGCATTATGCAAAAATAATGTCCATCTTGACATTTTACTGTGTGTACACTATGCATTTATAATAATCATATTACTGTATAATGATGAATCAGTGATACACTCAGGACATGGGTCCTGAGCTGATTTCAAAATCAGAAACAGAAAAACCAGAGCAGACATCCAGGCTGTGAATCAAGTCAGAGCTTGCATAGCACATCCACTAAAGCAGTGGTTCCCATCTGGGGGTCGGGAGTCACTACTCAATGATAGAAAAGGCTCCCTTGAGGAAAAAGGTTGGGAACCAATGTACTACAGGGCCACCCACACCAAGCTTTATAATAACAATATATAAGAACAATAACTCTAAATATATCTTTATATATATCATTCCACACCACAACTATAACAACAACGACAGTGGCCAACAATATCTTCCAGAGCGATTTGATCAATGATATTGTGGTATACAACCTTATAAACTCTCATAACAGAGTGTGGATTGTCCTCTCATCTTTGAAGAACTTTGTGAACCCAGATGTTTCTCTGTGCAACGTACAACACTAACAGCTCATCGGTATCGGTCCCTCCAGGATGTTACTGGCTTTGTTGGGGATTCCTGCAACCTAGAATGCATTATGTCGCAGCAGCTTTTCAAAAACGTTGTGATGCACATTGCAGTGTTTTCAGTTATTTTTTGCAATGAAATTGTGGGAGAAAGTGACATTTGCAAAAATGGTTACTAGTTAATAATTAAGTTAGAATAAAATATTTTTTAGGGGGGGATTGCTATGATTGGGGAAATGATGAGCGTGTTGGGGCCACTTTTTACACGTTATTGTTCATCAGTGTGAATGCTCACATCGTTAAAGTTACTGTTCTTGGTGTGAATGGCCCTTTAGAGTGTGTCAGTCATTTACATAGGCCATTTCATATCAGTGGCATGAAAGACGTATATCCCACACCACTTTTCCAGTCTTCATTCAGCTCTGATAGCGAAGGTAAAGCCCAGCTTATTGTCTGCACTGCCAGGCACATTGGAGCAGGTTGTGCAGCCTTGAGCGTTTTTCAAAGCAAAGTATGTCTCTGATTTGTTCTGTCTAGACCAGTGTTAACCTTGTAGCCTCCCAGTGAGCAATTACAGGCCACTACACCCCCCAACTTTCTTAGGCCACCATTTTATGTAGGGCACTGCCTCCCCTCGGCTGCATCCATGCTGCAGTTTGTACTACCTGTGCTGCTGGATAACACTGTTAGACCCAAAACAGACCATCTTCTGTCTTTCTTTTAGAGACCGTTGCTCTAAAAGAAAGCTAGAAATATAAAAGTTTGGTTAAAAGTTGACATGGTAAAACTTCCTTACCTCATATTGTTGTTGGCTCTGTTCCCGCTGTTGTTGGGGGGTGGTTCAGACATTTTCTGTCAGAATTGGTTTTCCTACAAAATCCACTTTTTGCTACTGAAACATGATTCATGTTTTCATTGTTCTGTTTAGCTAAAGATTCTAGAAAGATCTGGTCTCGGTTAAATATTAAAAACTTAATTCGGATTCGTAACGAACCTGAGATGCTTCGTCAGGAACCCTGCATTACTGCAGAAACAATCATCGTTGAAACAAAACCCAGGCATTTCCCCATCAAAATGCATGTGGCAAAATTACAATACAGATAAATACAAAGGTTGGACTCAGTATGTCCAGCTTAGTCTGAGCTCTCCTCCAGCTGTAACTTCTCTGTAAATACAATGAAAACTCCAGAACTTTGTGTAAGAAACTGCTGTTTTTGTGTTTAAATCTGGGTAAATAAAACTAAAAGTCTTAAGTGACAAGACTGAAAACCACCAAGTATTTCAGCGAGTCCAGAAATGCATAACACTTCACCACTGGCTCTTTTGTAACAGTGTTCAAGTGTCTTTGGTGGATTTAGTGGATTTTTCCTTTAAGCCTCTGTCAGAGGTGGGTGTTAGTCAGGTATGGAGCAGAGGATCAGCCTGTGCCCTTTGAAAACCACAATGACTGTGCCGGTGATTTAACCACAATGGTGGGCCACTCGCATGTTGTTTTGTTTTCCCTCGACACCTGCCCAAATTTCCCAGACACTTCCTTGAGTGAGGGATTGAAACACGAGAGCTGTGAACTGTGGGTGATGTCCGTCACCTATTGTGCGCTGCCTTTAATTAAAGCTTTAGGCTTCATTTAGCACTGAGGTGCAATTTCCAGCTCCCAATCCCCCTGAACAGAGAGTGGAGGAAATGTCATTGTGGCTCCAAGTCTCTCTTCTAACCAGATTCATCAGCAGCAGGCTTCAAAGACAACAGAGGACCTTGTGGAAACAGGAAATGGTCTGTGAGGAGATTCGATAAACTAATCAGTTGTGCATTTTTCCTCCATTTTCTCATGACCAAAGTAGCACGAGGATGTGTGAATTATCTTGGCACGACATCTTGGAGGGTAAAGTGTCAGGCGTAAAATGGAAAAAGAAGCGAAGGCCTTCGTATTGATTTCTTCTCACATCCTCCATATTTGTATCTAATGAGGCTCTTCTAGTTTAGGCTGTCCTGTGTACAAGTCAGTCGCTGATTCAGAGGAGGAGTTCAGTGTCCTTCTGTTGTCTTGCTCTTCCTTCCCTCAGCAGAAACAAAGTCAATGACCAGCTCAATTCCTTCCTCTGCCATCTGCTCCATCCGCCGGGCTCGCTGATGTTGATTGACAGACGGTACACACACCGCCGATCGAGTCAAAACATGTAATTACACAAGCCATGCTGTGTCCTTTTCTATCCTCAGCTCGTCGTCCGCTACCAGCCCATTCGTAGCTCTCCATCCATCTCCTCCATTTTCCCTCGCCATCGGCCGATACAATATAATGTTTTGTTGTTTTTGTATTTTTGTCCCTTCAGGGACCAGCAATTAGGGAGGTCCTTTTAGTGTGTCTGGGAAACACTTAATTTGACCTATTTTGTTAGTCATTTCATTTATTTTCCCAAACACAGTAATTGCCTGCCAGGGAGCCTCAGTGGAGACGCCGCTGTGTGTCCGGCCTCGGCTTGCACGTTTCATTGATTAGAGGTTGTCTTCACATCCCGACATTTACAGCAAGACGTAGTGTAAGCTGCCAGCAAACTGAGAAACCAAACAGAATGAGAATAATGAAGAGCTAGCAGAATATTGGTTATTTAATTAATTTGCCATTAAAGTATGCATGAAATTTATAGAAAATAAAGCACCTGTATTACCTAGGAATATAAAAATAGAAATTAATGTAAACTGGGGTAAGTTAGGTGAAACTTAAGAAAAAATAAATAGTTGTTTAGATGTAATAGATGGTTACCAGCTGGTTTCTATCAGCGTCTTCGTTCTAAATTGTCATTTCTAGCATCGAAAAGTTCAGCAGCACTATTGTGGTGTCAGCCAGATTGGTCTGTTTAATAGAAAAGAGACGTGAATGAGGGATAACTCACTTGACAGGCCCATTGATGCAGCTGTATGTGGCTGGTACACAAAGCACTTGTGAAGCTCCTCCATTTCCCACTGTATACAAGCAGCCTTTTTTCTGTGCTGTGGGCCGGGCGGATGCTCCTCCAGGCCTCTCCTCTCCTGTTTTTACACACTGACAAAATCATTTCCTCCAGGAACTGAGGAGCCATGAGAGGGGTCAGCGAGGGTGCTGACCAGTTATGAAGGGCCTTTACCTCACACGTCCCGAACACACAGGAGACAGGCTTTGTCGGACAACACTGACATGGCTGTGTGTGTGTGTGTGTGTGTGTGTGTGTGTGTGTGTGTGTGTGTGTGTGTGTGTGTGTTTTCTGGCATTTATCCTCCCACGGCTTCTTGTAGCCTTTTATTATCCAGTTCTCTTAAAGCACAGAGCTTCCGCCGGCCAAATGAGCACAATGAATCCAGAAGTATTTGAATTTTTCTTAAATCAATTTGTTAATATACTGTTTGAGTGTTGTCCTTTATAGGTGTATGATATGAAGCCACAGTCCAACTGTAATGTAAGATTTGAGAATTTGATTTATTAATTTACTATCACAAAGGTCTTATGTTCTACATTAAAGTCTGTATGACTGAGTGTGATGGGTGAATCTTTATTCTTAAATTGGATCCCATTAGCTTCCAGAAAGTGGTTGCTGGTCTTCCTGGGGTCCACACAAAAACAATGACAAAAGCAAACAACAATTTTAAATCACAAAGTATCAATAAAACAGGAAGACAGAAAGCAAGCTAAGTATAAAACTCAGAAACTAAGGGAAATTATTCCACATATGAAAACTATTAGCAAAGTAGCCTACAATGGAAAGACACACCACACCAAAACAATAAGTATACTATAAACAACCAAAAAGGTTCCAAAACAGCAATAGCTTTTTTAATCTGTCGTGTCAGATGAGTGCGTACTTGATGTTTTATATATATAATGACAACAGCAAGTGTATATTAATTTCTCACAAAAGTTTGGTGTATTATTCCACTTGACACTGTGCATGGACAACCTGTCTTTTAGAGCAGTGAATATTTAAATGGAATTTATAATTTTGCATTTTTTTAATGCAATTTGAAATGGAAAGATTTGCTGCTATTATTCAAATAAAACCATGTCAAAAGGAAGAATCAGCCTTCAATCAGATAAACTGGTCACAAGCAGTTGAGATATGCAAACAGTGAGAGGGGTTCCCAAGTAGGGGTGTTGGAAGTATTATTACTGTGATATCTAAAAAGTAAAATGTTGACATTGTGTTAATAACACAGATATGATAATATCATGTAAATAATCAAGCTCCTCTTAAAACATTTGTGTTTCTTTCTGTTCTTGCTTTGTGGTTCACACTCCACCAGAATAGGTGGGGGTAATTCATTTGCCAAAAAAAACACACAAAAAAACACACAATAAATGTTAAACATGGCTGATGGAATTATTATTTGTATTTCTGTCAAATAGTCTATAATGTCACGGCATTCACATAGTGAAAATCTGATATGGTGACAGTCCCAAGTAGACAAAGCTTAGTTTTAAAGGTTGGGAATGTTGAAATCACTGATCTAGGGCGTTTTCACACATACCACATTTGGTCCGAACCAAAATTGTAGGTGAGAAAGGTGCCACGGACCACGGTCCGGATCAAAAAAACAAAATTTGGTCCGAACTAAAGAGGTGGTCTCGTTCCGGAATTTAGGCATACGTACCATAGAAGAAGAAAAAAACGGAAGAAAACCCCAGCCAGAACAAGCAAAAATGAGTCGTGGAAGTACGTGGGGAGAGGAAGAGATTATATGTTTAATTTCAATTTGGTCAGATGAAAACATTAAAAGTCAGTTAGAAAACACTCATTTTACATTTACAAAACATTTTCTGAGCAGATGAAAGAGAGAGGGTACGTATTTTGCACTACGAGAACGTACATTTCTCCCGAGTATTGTGCTTGCAGTTGTTGCTGCTGGTAATAATACCATAATAACGCAATCGGGATTTGCTCATTCATTTGTTCATTCATTTTCATTCATACGGAAAAGACTACCCGCCAAAATGACAACACGCCAATGTCAGACACACGCAATGCTGGTCCGGACCTTGGTCCGGAGTTTAAGGTGTGAAAACGCCCCTAGATGCTGTTTCAGAGGACTTTTCTAACCTTTTGACACCAAAGGAGGTCCTGGGCCTACACATTGGTTAATGTTAAAAATATACAAGTAGGCTAGGCTGTAACCACAAATTCTTTCAGGCTGACATGTCCCCGTCAGTACTGAACTATGTTAAATATGTCCTGCTTTGAGTGATTTCCTATTTATTTTTTATTTATTTTAAGAAAAACATTAAGTGTGTGACTCCTTTGACTTGGTTGCAGCCAATACCTTCGTTGAGTGTTGGCAGCTTTATGACTCTCTTAGTTACTTAATTTTCAAAAAGCCAGTAGTGACATGTCATTTTTCCCCAATGGAAAATGTATAATTCTAATCGATAGGTGTGTTCGTCAGTAGTTTAAAGTGGAGGGGCAGCTATTACCTCGGGGAATCACAGACAATTCCTTTAAATGTGAATTGAATCTCAATATAATCCTCCAAACTATGTTCTAAATGTGCACATACATAATATCATACAATTGTGGGAAATGCACAAAAAGTAGTGTCTACACCGTGGTTACACTCTTGCAAGTGGGATAATGTATTTGGTGTTTTTCTACCTTGACAAGAACACAGATATTCAGTTTCTAACAGCTACAATGTTAGAAACTGAATATTTATCTTAAAAAACACTTGACTAAAACATGCAAACATTACTCCATTACTCATAAAAAACACTATGTTCACATGAAATAATGACCTCCACCAGTGGATCTGGCCTGTTTCCATTGTAGTGAACTCTGAAGGCTTGTGTGTTGCTGTGTACGCATGACTCATGAGGGCTGCTATGTTTAGAGATGATTGAGTCTGACCTGAAAGGAGGCACAGCGTACAGGGCCTGATAATATGGCTTGTATATACCTGAAGTGGCAACAAGATGTTTGAGGGCTTTAGAAACTGTTTTATTGAGGGTCATGTTTACCCACTTAGCCTCTCTCTTAATAGACTCATACTGATTTTGTACCACACTGTTTGACTAAGATAGGATGGTAACATTAGATTAATGCACTTTGTGTAGAATTAACTCAGCAGGTAATATCCCAACCTGACACAGATGAAATGAAATATGACACAGATTTGTCATATTTTCTTGCTAGAACCAGAAGCTGTGAGCTCAGGCCGAGTACTCTCTGCAGTAGTGGACTGCTCCTGTGGTTTTTCACTGAACAGTGGAGGGGGGTGCTTCTCCTTGGAGACTGTGGATGAGACAAAATAATGAAATAAAGTGAACGGACAAAAGCTGGTCCACAGATGCCTCGGATAACTGGACTGAAATGATGTTTCTGCTGCTGCAGCTAAAGCACACTGAGCCTTTCACTCCACATCAGTGCACTCTGTGTGCAGGATCAACACAAACATTAAATACCAATAAACATATTAAATAAACTTTTTATGATGGGAATTGATTACGCACAGACATGTACTCATCTGTCATTAACCCTCCAGTGTCCCTGCCTGCTTTTTTTAGAAATGATGGATGGGAAAGTATTTGTCCCTGTGTGTAATTAGGCAGCCAATTAACAGATCCAAGGGAGGGGTTTTCATTCTTCCACTCACACACACACAAATACACATTTGTATGATTCCTCACACACGGTTTCCTTTCACATCCAACACAGGGGGAGAGAGATCTGTTCTCAAGCCTAGGCATTGCTACCTCTCTCTCTCTCTCTCTCTCTCTCTCTGGCTTTGTCTGCCCTCCTTTTTCTCCATCCTAAAAAAAAAAAGACAAGCAAGGAGTATAAAAAAACCTACCCAGGATTCCCTGTTGGGCCAGTTCTTCCTCTATAGAAATCAGCCGGTTGTATTTAGTCATCCTCTCAGCACCGTTCAGACCTCCCAGTTTGACATAGTCCAGGCCCAGACCCACAGCCTGAGGGAGGAGAAGAGCATAAAAGGTGTGTGATGCCACCAAGGGGAGGGAGACAGAAACCAGGACAGTGTCTCTGGGGGTTTCACTGATGAGTTTGTTGTATTGTATTGTAACTGAAGGCAGGTAGGAGGAATAACACAGTTGAGAATTCTGACCTACAGGTGGAGGGGACAGTGGTGTGATGGGGATGTGTGGAAATGACGGTAGCTAAATGTTAAAGCTGGGGCTCCATGGTGTTATATGTATGTAGGAATTTATAGTAAGACTTTATAAGAAGGGTACAAATCATGTGCTAAACTAATGCATGACTCATGATGATTTAAAGGACCAGTGTATAGGATTTAGTGGCATCTAGCAGTGAAGTTTCAGATTACAACTAACTGAACAATGCTTGCGTCTGTATTTGATAACCTCTGAATGAGAACGGCTGTGAAATGTGTAGGAGAAACTACGGTGGCCACGAAACTCATGAAAAGCGCAAAAGGCCCAATCTACAGCCAGTGTTTGGTTTGTCTGTTCTCAGCTATGGTAGAAACATGCCAGTTCTCCACAGAAGACAACCTGCTGTGTCTGTAGATAAAATGTCTGAATGATTCCTATAATCAGGTAATTATACACTAATAAAAACATACCATAAAACTTAAATGAATAGCCCAGGCTACCTTTTAGTCACTGTCGCTTTATCTTTTTTATTGTTTTACAGTGTTTATTGCTTATTCTATAAAATGTTTGATTACTGTTGTTTTTGTTGTTTTACCCTGTAAAGCACTTTGTAAACCCAATTTTGAAAGGTGCTATATAAATAAAGTTTATTATTGTTAAGAATTCCTGTTGCTCGCCACTAACAAATGATCAAGTCACTATGACTTTTTATGAATAGTAACCTTAATTGTTTCATACATGAATTGATATGTGGCCAATTAGATATTAAAAAAAGAACCTTGCATTCATGCCCTCTCTTATTGGAATAAATATTTCTTTGACCATAGACCTAATGGTATTTACAACATAGTGGGTGGAACAAAAGTCTTATTACAAAAATACCATTGGGTTTATTCTCATAGAAATAAAAAATATGTAACTGGAATCCTGCTAATTTGGTCTCATACCAATTAATGTATGAATGAACATTCTTTAACTGCTGATCTATTCAGTGTGAACTAATCACATATGATAGTATGATAGATAGTCACAGTGACTTAATAATTTGTTAGTGGTGAGCAATTCATGGTATATCCTGCATTAAGAATGCATTAAATCATCATGAGTCATGCATTAATTAAATACTACTTAAGTATATGATTTGTTCCCTCATTATTGAGTGTTACAAAATATACATTGCTGGTAACTATGGTTGCATCTGTATATTATTTTCTCGATATCTAATCGATAATCTAAAGAAAGTCAAATAACACATACACATCAAAAGTTGACATAGTCCTATTGCTTGATAATGGGTATAGAGAAGGTCAGGGACGGGCACTCACTCACTGCGGCCCTTGAGCCAAATATCAATCAATTGTTGGTTTTACAGGTGTTGGAAGCAAGTTAACCATTTGACCACATTTGAACCATATCCCAATTGTAATTATACATATAAACTAAGCCTGTACCCAAGTAACTGCTTGCACATTCGCCCCCTGGTGGCTGACTGCAGTATAGGTCATTAAGTCTGCTGCCTCTATGTTAGCAGATGGGACAAGCTAATAAATCAAAGTAAACGTCAAATACATTTTCCCCAAAGATGGTTTCTGTCATTTAGTTTTTATCATGCAGATATATGTTCAAGTGTTAATTTTTCTAATAAATCTGGATATAATTGGTAATTTGAAGATTGAAAAATGGGGTCTCGCATCATGATTGACAGCTGAGTCCTGCTCACAGTTGAGTTGGCCAGGTGTATGGGCAGGGCCTCAATACAACAACACCAACACTACGGCACAGACTCTGGCTCCAAATGATGTCACCAGTGCAAGATGGCAGCGGCTGTGTATGGGATATTAATACGCAATGTCCATCTTTTATATGTTGATGGATTCACCAGGCATCTTCTGCAAATGTGACATGAGTGGACCATGGGTATGACTTCCAGGCAAGATGGATGATACAACACCACGCACAAAGACAAATACGTACATCGGAGCTGCAAGGCACTGACCTCGAAGGAAAAATACACCAATAGCAGAGCCTTTTTACGAAAGCCATGACTACACAGGCGTCCTCTCTCGAGACATCGTGCTGTTTCTCTTGAGCTTACTTAAGCAAAGAAGCCCTTGGCAGATGGTGAAACATTGAAGCAATGTGCAGTGGAAATGGCTAAAGCTTTCGGAGATGATAACACGGCTAAGGACTTTGAAACTGTCTCACTATCCTGCTGCACAGTGACGCAAAGAATTTTTGACATTTAAAGATCATGACGAGGGAAGTACTTGCAGTCATGCTTATTAACCAGTTTTCATTCACACAGGAGCCATTGGCAGTTTATTTCAAGTGCATAAGGAGTTATTGAAATTGGTGTCTTTGCTACACAGGGCAAGGATGTTTTCAACAGTTAGAAGTGCTGTAAGTGAGCATGATCTTTGACAAGCTGTAAGCTGTTGTTATCCATGGTGCATCATCAATGCAAGGAAGACACACTGGGCCACTCCACCAGGGCGGCACTGAATGTCCAATACTGCATTGCATCACATATCAGGTGAGTAATGTTATCACTAGCTAACTATTTAAAACTCCAGTGTGTAACATTTAGGAGGATCTGTTGTCAGATATGGAATACAATATTCATAACTATGTTTTCATTAGTGTATAATCACCCGAATATAAGAATCGTTATGTTTTTGTTACCTTAGAATCAGCAGTTTTTATCCACAAAGGGACTGGGTCCACTTCTACGGAACTGTTGAACCATGTTGAACTGCCATGTTTCTACAGTAGCCCTGAACGACCAAACACTGCCTTTTGCCTTTTGTGAGTTTGGCTGACATGGTTGGAAGGGGAGGGTAAGGCAAGGGGGTATTTAGTCAGTTGCAATCAAGATGCACTAGATGCCATTAAATCATACAAATTGGTCCTTTAATATATGGACTGTAAATGGACAATGAACTTCAGTCATGTCATGGATTTAGTGACCAAGGTTACCAATCACGTTTTTCAATCATAGGACGTTTGAGGCCTTTTTAGATGAAGTGAACGCTGCTTATGGGGATTTACTAATGCACACTGAGATCAGAAGGATGAGATGTGGGAAGGGCTTGGAGAGTTTTTTTTTTTGCTGTGCACTGAAATCCCAGTGTTCTTAGCGTGTTACTGCAGTTAAGTTGGATACAGATTTTCTCTTGACATGCCCTCAGATATTAACTTGCATTTTAATCACCTGAACATGCAGATACAGGGAAGAGGCCAAACTGTTGGATCTCTTTGCACACATGAACGCATTTCAGCTTAAGCTAACCCTGTCCAAAGAAGACCTTTTATCCGACCATCCAAATCTGGAACACTTTCGTGCCTCTGAAGAAATGTGTTAAGATGTCCCCCAATGCGAGAAAAACATTTCTCAACAATGAAACACAGCAGCAGCAGTTCAAGGACTACTTTCAAGATTTTTTATTCCATGCAGCCACAAATTGTGTTATTGACTAACCCCCTCCCTGCTGCTGTCAGTGAACAACCCCCAGAGTTGCAGCTTGAACTGAGCGAAATACAGTCAGACCCCTTCTTTCAAGCATAGTGGTGAAAGGGGAATTTAATTTTAGAGACTACTACCCAAGTCCTGCTTTCCCATCCTTAGGAAATTTGCACTCTTATGGCCAGCATGTTTGGGACCACATACATCTGTGAGAGCAGTTTCATCAAGTAAAAGGGAGAGTAACAAGCTGAAATTTAGTTCCATCTCATGGATTGGACACACATACATTGGCCGGCTGTGGCTCAGAGGCAGAGCGGTCGTCCACTAATCGGAAGCTTGTTGGTTCGATCCTCCTGCCACATGTCGTAATATCCTTGAGCAAGATACTGAACCCCAAATTGCTCCTGATGCTGTGAATCAGTGTGTGAATGTGTATGAATGAGTTAGTTTCTGTTTGATGGACTTTGCCATCACTGAGTGAATGTGTGTGAAAGGGTGAATGTGGCACGTAGTGTAAAAGCGCTGAGTGGTCGGAAGACTAGAAAGGCGCTATACAAGTAAAGGTTCATTAACCACTTACATTCAGTCCACTGTATGGCAGCAGGAGAGGCCACAAGTATCTAATTAAGACAAAACTTTAAATCCACCTGTGGGTGAGTTTGTTTTGGCTTTTGAGATAAATGCAAGCTTATTTGAAACATGTCATGGAATGGGAGGGAACAGTACTTAGTGTTGATGTTAACATTAGTGTTTTTTCAGAACCCATTGCAGTAAAATAATGGTATATCACTCAGAAATGTGGAGGTTTCTGTGTTAAGCTCATCCAATGAATAGAAGCATTGCTAAAATTGTTTGAATATGAAATGATGATATAATGAACTCTGATTACTGGTATTTCCTTGCATCATTCAAAAGCATCAGCTGCTCACATTGAGGAGCTAGAACTAGTTAATTTTTGGCATCTTGGTTAAAATAATGTCATATTAAATTAATTAGTGGAGTGCATTGGAGATCAATGTGTTGATGCCATTTTGTTGTGGGGAAAGCACACAATAATGGTTAAACTTTTTCTGATATCACTACAACACTTGCTCTTGGACCTGCAGGAAAAACTGTGGGTGGAAGGTTTGTGACTCTCAGAGCACACAACACATCATTACTGCAGATGGCTGCTGCTGGCTGTTGAACAAACCCACTGTGGTGAAGAGATGCAGAACTATTCCCTGATCACACAAATGACATAAAGCTGGAAAAAAGAGGGAACTTACTATATCTGACAAAGAGTCATTACTGCAGGGCTCGCTGCATGTTGTTCCCATTAACACTGTCCCTGGCAGGTCAACAGGTGAAGAGACACACAAAGACACATAATTAGCATTGATAGCAATCCATCATAGAAGCAATTTTTCACAGAAGGAAGTAGGATATAGTTCAGGCAATGAAGTTACAGTTCAGTATGTTAACAGCTGCTTCATTCATGTGTCACCATCAGGGGTTTGGTTCCCAGGTGACTAGTAATGTCCAATCAGAACATGACACTTGTCAATGTTACCCCCCACCTCCTGATTACCTACATTTTCATTGTTCACATTTCAACAAAATCCTTGTTGCCAGGATTCTTTGAGAACTCCCTCAAACAGCAGTGCCTCTTCCACCAAATCTAACAGTACAGCTATTTGCTGTAAATGGTCAATTCATTCGAACATATGAGTGTTTGGAATATACAGCAACATTATACAGTGCTGAACTCAGTAACAGCCGTTTGTTTAAAACAAGAGATCTGGGTACATTTTGATCAGATTATTTTGTGTTTAGGGAACTTTTTATACAATTCTTTTTTTTTTTAAATCATTTTTAATAATCATACATACTTATTAGGCTTATTTTTGACAAATAAATGTTTTTCTTCTCTTTGTTCTATTAGCTCTTAGTTCTTTTTTATAACTTTTTTTGCAGAATGAGGCTGTTTATCAGAGAGTGAAGGCTCTGTGAATATAGCTTGTGTTCAGGTCTTCAGTATATACCAGTTTATATAAGTTTATACCTTAAATTATAATCTAAACTGAAAATAATTTACCTTACATTTACTTTTCTTCACAGAACTGTACCAAATGCAGAGATACAGGCCTACTGTGTATATTTTTTAAGTTTTCTTACTCCCCTTGAAGCTTTGGCCACCCGTAGTGAGGAACCACTGCTTTAATTAATCCATTAATTTTATGGCTAATTTAATGTAGTTATGAATATATTACAAATGAGGCAAGGCATTTACTAGGTTAGATTATGGTGTGTTTATTTTATCATCCAAGCATGCTCATGTTCCACTGTCAGAATATAGTGAAAGTTTCAGCAAATATGACAAAAAATAATTTTATAAAAATTACCTACTGCAGCTTTAACTGACAGCAGAGGGGTGTTGACGTGTTACAGTTTAGGCCTATGTTGTCATCATCCTTTACCTTGGTGCTCTGATGTGATTCGGATCAAATCACTGACTGTTGTTTCACAGATGTGTTTTAAGATGTGGCCTCTGACTCCTGGTAAGGGTGGGGCCTTTGACTTGTAGGTGATATCAGAGAGCAGCGAACATGAGTCTCCAATCACACTGCTCAGCTTCTCCCATTGGTCTACATCCTTACAGAGTGCACACATACACAAAAATAAGGATACACATTTGAGCAGTCATACATAAACACATACATCTAAGACAACTTTATAAACAAACACATCAACAAGAGTACACCCAGAAGAATTACCACCCAGGCCAAATAACTATTGGTGATTCAGTAGTTCTACACAGAGCCTTACTTGTAATGAGCGGAATTCATAAAAGTTTGAAAGTTTATTTTTTTTATTTTTTACAATAAACCAGGGGTGTACTCCATGAAGAAGGATTAGTCCACATCTGTAACTATGGCCACAAATGCCCTGAAACAAACCTGTCACATTTCAGCCTGTCAACAGGTTAGCACAATGTTAGTGGGAAAAGCAATTTCTGGAGAAAATCCAATACCATGACAAATACCATGATATAGTGCCAACAACAACACAGTGACTGATGTAACTGCTGTTAGCTATATTGTGGGTTTGCAAAATGGATGTATTAATAAAGACCTGGATACAGCATTGGAGGCAGGTTTCCATTCATTCCTATGGAAGATGTTCATGGCACATGAAGCCAAAAAGGTTTGATTTAAACCGAACTTTCTGCTTATTATTGTAAGGCCCAAGCAACTTCCGCCGGCTGACCCGCTAGCTTCCAGTTAAGCCCTCCGCTAACTTGAATTGGGATAAAATGATTTAATAGTGTAGCTCTTCTAGACTTTCCAAATGTTTTCAGACCGAAAGATACAAAATCTGAATGCAGGAGTTGTGAAAATTCAACCAACTTACAGCCACTTCTGTCACAATGCAAGCTTATGGGTACAAATATTTTTGGGCCTGTATGTATTAAGTAATGGACACCATTGCCGTACTTACAGGGTGTGGCCACTATGTCAATTTGGCTTCAAATCCTGGAGCTTGGTTAGCAAACTGTGACTAAAGCTAACATGCAGAGAGGACTCACAACACTCCTGCTAGTGTACGTAGCTAACATCACTACAACAGCATATCTTGGCAAACTATTAAGTAAGCTGGATGTCCTTGGGCATGTTATTTAACGTTTCCTGATACACAAATCCTGTACGATTTGTAGACCTTGAGAAGATCTTCTCTGAATTAGAAAAAAGTGTATTGGATTAGAATGACCTAGAATCGCTTACCCCACGTTTAACTCCTGGTTACAAGCTAGTTTTTAGGTTTCAGCTGTCTATAATGGGGTTCAACTGGTATTACAACATTGTGAGCAGAAACATTCTCTTCAATGTTCGGTCCCTACAGACCATTATCAAATTATTCCAAAGAAGACAGCATATTTGTCATAATTTTGTGATAATTGTATACATTTATACAGCTATAATCAAATATTCTAGAGTTACCACTCTTATGATTAATAACTTAAATGTCGAGAGAAGCGCATTGACGTAGTTTTGGTTTTGCTCTTTTCATGGGATTTGTAAAAAGAAAAATATTAAATAACACCATGATGGCTGTGGCTCAGAGGAAGAGCGGGTCGTCCACTAATTGGAAGGTTGTTGGTTCGATCCTCGGCTTCTCCTGCCACATGTCGAAGTATCCTTGAGCGAGATACTGAACCCCAAATTGCTCCCGATGCTGTGCATCAGTGTGTGAATGTGTATGAATGAGTTAGTTTCTGTTTGATGGACTTTGCCAATGTGTGTGAATGTGGCATGTAGTGTAAAAGCGCTTTGAGTGGTCGGAAGACTAGAAAGGTGCTATACAAGTACAGGTCCATTTACTATCCTTATTCTCTAACATTAAAAAGTTATCTTGGTATTTAAATATACCTTTTAGGAATTTACCAGAATTATACATTTTTTTATTTATTTTTATTTTTTTATATAATATTATATTGTCTATATACATGACAATTACACAACATGTCAAGAAAAGAATGATAATGTTTTGAACTTACCTCTCTTCTAAATGGATCAATTAAGGCCACCACTGCTGGGTATTTACTGATGAGGCTCTGGTACATATCTACTAATTCATCCGGAGACTTCAGAACTCCTGTTGCAACTTCATACTTTCCTTTAGACTGAGACGAAGAGAAGAAGGAAAATGTTTGTTGTCTCTATCAACTGTGCCAACACTATACATGTGAATTAACCTATTCAGCTGTATGCATATATAATTGATTTACATAAGCACTCCTACACAAGGACTCCCAACACCTTGGCTCACATAACACCAGCGACTAATACTTACATAGTCCATTAGCTCAGGGGCGGCACAGTTTAGTGCTAAATGTATCTCTGTTCCCAGTGCCAGTCCAAAGTTAGTGCAGGCTTCTGATATAAGATCCAGAGGCTGCTCGGGTCGCTCATAGGTCAAAGCCGGCGCTCCATTGTCACTCAGAATTATATGGGTGGCCTTGGAGCAAAGACACAGTTCACATTGTCAACAACATATATGTATTGTGCGTTTACACATATTACAACGGTAATAAATACATTAACCTACAATGTTCTTCACATAACTCCTCTTTGCATACATCTGTTGAAAAGTAGCAACGCTGATGTGAATGACAACAGCTGAGTATTTATTCATATAGGTTTGAATGAGATGGTTGTCATCGCAAGATTATTAGAGGAAGAGTGTGTCCCACTCACCCTTTCCACTGTTTACGTTATGAATGTAAGTGCTAGGGGTCATTGAACAAAGCAGGAGATAACTCTGTATATACAGTACAAATGCTGCTTGAAGGGAAAGGTAAATAGGAGAAGGATTGAATGAAGGATAAGCATTTGGACATACCTCCAGGCCTACATACCTGAGTTAATTTGAACATTAGCCATGAAAAATCCAATAGAATCACCTTTATTATGTGTATCTTTTAGGAAACAGAAAAAGCCTCCAATCCTGCCTCCAATCCTGCCTCCACCTTTTACATACTGTTCCAATTCTAACAGTGAATAAATAGCAATGTCCCTCACCCCGGCTTTTGTGGAAGTGTTTATTATTCTCATCATCTCCTTCTGTAACTCAAGGGTCATTGTGATGATCTGTTGAAGAAGTTCATAGTTCAGAGCATTTAATAACTGCTATGGTGAAAAATTTATAAGGAAGAACTAAGGTGCCATACCAATAATATACCACATCATAGCAACAATAAATGAAGCAAAGGAACTTGATCACTAACTTTATATAGTGAATAGGTCTATACCAACAGCCAACTCTGAGAAGAGGTGGACCAAAGACAGACAGAATATGTAACAACTACACAGAGATGTGACTGAAGATTGCTGAGTACTTGTCTGACTGGTTGTTCTGCTTTGGGGATCAGGATGACCTCCTCCAGTAAACTCAGTTTTCCAGGAGAATTCTTCCCACAGCTCAGCAAAGTTACCAAGGAGACGGGGATGTGAAACTGTGTTGGAGCCTGAATTAAATTGTTTAAGACATCATTACATGCTGCTCCCGGTGTAGTTTTTGTTTGGATCTAGGTGTTTGTGCTTGTGTGGTCTAACCTCTCTTGTCTTCAGAGCTGCTATGTATTTGTAGAGAGGGATATCCTGTATTTGTGCCCCACTTTTGGCCACAGCCAGAGACACTGAACCAATGGCCAAGCTCCCAGGAAGAACTGGTTCTGGTGGCTCTGCTGGAGGAAATGGCTTGTCTGCAGTGTTGGTCTTTTTGCCTGTGATGTAAGCAAAAAAGACACAGACATTCATGTGACTGAAGGAGTTAGATAGATGCACATTTTGGGCATTTTTGGCTAGGACAAATGGCCCCAGATCAGAGGCACAGACACAGAGGCACATAGCCATTCACACTCAGAAGCAATTTATAATCGCCAATTTACCTAACCTGCATGTCTTTGGATTGTGGTTAGGATTAGGGTTAAGTGCCTACCCTACCCAACCACACAGCCCCTGGAGGAGACTGCAGACTCAACACAAGATGAACCCAGCCAGCCGACAGATTAGAAGCAAGATCCTATTTGCTTTGAGTTGACCACTGCACCTGTATACTGTAGATTAAGTAACCTTAAAAAACTACTAGAGACAAAACTAGCAACCTGTTTCAGCGGTCTCTTTGTAAACAAGGGCTTTGATTTTCTAAAAGCAGTGCATGAAACTGAACATAAGACCCCGAATCACAAAAGCCCTACTTTTACTTTTACTCTTACTGTGCACAATGAGTGGAATGATGTGAAATGATGAGTGGAAAGTTGTCTAATAATGAAGGGATAGCTGCCTAATAACATTGGTCAAAAATGAAAGACTCTTTGCGCCTGTTGTGGTCGTGCATATGTATGTAAATTATATCTTAGTCTCAGCGTTTTAATGACATAAATAATTCATTTGTTGGCAGGGTCATGGAAATCAAAATGTCCTCACCACTCACACTAACACTTTGTAACACTGCCATGTTTAGTAAGCAGTTTAGTTTGTTTTACATCTTTAGGGACCAATGTGTAGGATTTAGTGACACCTAGTGGTGAACTTGCAGATTGCAACCAACTGAATACTCGCCTTCCAAGCATGTAGGAGAAAGAAGGGCCTATTTACTGCTGTTTACTGTTATGGGTTACTATAAAAACAGGGCTGTTCAACATGGCAGACTCTGGAGAAGAGGAGATCAGTAGATAAAAAGAGCTCATTCTAAGGTAACGAAACGCAACAATTCTTATTTTCAGGTGATTATACACTAATGAAAACATACCTATGAATAATATATTTAATGTCTGACAATAGATCCTCCTAAATGTTACACACTGGACCTTAAAAGGATATGCATTTTTATATGTTATACTATATATCAGGAAATCCCAATCAAAACCAAATGTAAGTAGTTTTTTCTGTGTAGCCTAATACAGCCAAATAGAGTTTATTCCTCTGTGCCATAGAACTCCACAGTTGTCCAAATGTGAGTAAAAACACATAACAGACACATACTGTGATTGGGTGACATGTAGCAAGACACATTTACTGTTGGTTTTTGACCCTTTGGATCTTAGATCAGATGACAAAAACACCAATTAGAAAGTGCTTTTACAGTGGAAGCCAGATTCAGTGGATTAATGTTACAGCAATTCAGGCATCTGAGGCACAAAATGCATTTTTCTCTTGCAACCTGGCATTAGTGATAATATCAATGAAAGTGAGGGTAGAAGACAATGGTTTTAGGTCTTAAAGGCAATCTATTCATCATTTCAGCTCAAGCCATCAACATATAATACTACAGAAAAATACTTTTGAACAGTGAAAATACTGTATATATTTAAACCGTGTTTGAGTTACTATTCATGCTCAAACTTTACTTCATTAATTCTAGAGTTTAAAGCAACGCAGGTGATGTATTTGGTATGGTAGAAAGTAGCCTACCAGTGCCTACTGATTTTCTGGGGATTTCTAAATGCAAAGTGGTTGCTTGAACAGCCGTGACAAAAGTCGCAAACAAACATATGCCTCTTACTTCAAGGACATGCCTTACCTGAAACAATGCTCTCCCCCTATTCTCCTTCCACAGTGAAACAAACTACAGATATAGCAAATGACTCTGTAACATAGAGAGAGCTTTTTACAACATTGAAAATGGTTTGTCCTGAGCAACGTTATATGGTATGACAGTGTTTAAAGGGCAGGACTTCCACATGTCATGGCCCTAAAGATTTTGGATTGTTTCCAACCAGGTCTAGCAACAGAAGTTGAGAGAAAGTCCTCAGTCTTTATTGAGTGAGTGAATAATTGGCTTGTGAGTCTAGGTAGAAAGCTCACGTCTGACCTCTGATGTGATAAATCATAATTGAAAAACTATGTATGTTCTAAGAGCTCTTTCTGGGTAAAACATACAAACTTGTTCAGAATTTCACTGCTGCTGCAGATTTTAGAATTGAGAAGCTGTGATACCAAACTTTAAGTAGTACTGTTGCATGACTATTCATTATTCTACCTTTATCGACAGTCTTCTTGTCTTTAGTCTGTGCAGAGGGCGGAGAAGGAAGCACTGCCTCAGGCTCGCTGGTTGAACGACTCTCCTCATCCTTGTTCCGGGCGTCTTTCTCCTCCAGGTACCGGGCCATGAAGAAATTGCTGTGAACACAACAACCTCAACAAAGGTTCTTCATTGGCCAAAATAAATAATACACCAAATGAATGTGTGTAAGTGTATTGGTACTGAGCTCCATGGCACCTCATGTATGTCAGCTACAACAATAGTTTCCAACCTTTTTATTTAATGGAATCCTTTTCTATCATTGGGTGAACTGACTCAGTGACATATTCATATTACATTACAATAACAATAACAATAACAATAACAATAACAGTAGAGAACAACTGATAAACTGTACAATGAACCCAAACAGTGAACACAATAACTATAGGAAGTTAGTTTTTTTAGGAACTTTTTCTACTATTCAATGTCTGTATTGTAGGCTTATTTTTTTACAAATTCACTGTTTTCTTCTCAACAATACTTGGCCATTGTTCTAGCACCTTGGTTGTTTATACTGCATACTTTTCTAATGCAGGACCAGACTGTTTATCAGAGAATGAAGGCTCTGTGAATATAGTTTGTGCTCAGGTCTTTTAGTTTTAAGTTTAGATCTTAAATAATAATCAAAACTTTAAAAATAAATAAATATTTCATTTATTTTTCTAGGCAGAAAAGAAGACCTTGCGACCCCCTATGAAACTTTGGCGCCCCCTAGTGGGGGCCCCGACCCAAGGTTGGGATCCAATGAGCTAAAACACAGACAATATTTACTGATGGTCTCAGGTCCACCCCTCCTAAAGGTTGTATATATGAGATTTAGAACAATCAGTTTCTTTTACTAACACAGCTACACATTACACAATGTGTGCGCAGACAAGGATTTTCTGTCTCAGTCTCTGACCTGTGTATGTATGTGACATAGTCTAGCAGGTATGTTGTGGGTCTCACTTCTCAGAGAAGTACCAGCACGTTGCTGCAGGCTTAGAAAATGCTTTATGCTATTAGGGGTAGTCACTTTAGTAAGCTGTAAAGTGTTTTGATAAGCTCATGTAGCGGCATGATAGTCATTGAAAGGCCACGTATTGTGTTTGCGGAACAGAAATAAAAAGTCCCTGTTCATTCAACGTTATTTTGGCATCTTCCTGCATTCTTTGGTCTAAACTGTGAAAAGCCAGTTATCACCAATGAGCCAGGTTAAAGTAAATTACAATAGCCAAAATCAGAGGTCTCCCAACTACGGTTTGGAGCCGCAGATGTGGAAAGGAAACATATGCAATCATATTAATCGTGGGTAGAGGAACAAATGTGTAGTAACAACTACCGTGTGTATTGAGGACACGGTTCCTACACATTTTACATTTCAAAATGGCAGACTTCTCTAGGCTCATATTTCTAGACTTCTCTGCAGATTTTTCAGATCATATGACATATGTCTGATGAACTGTTAACATCTATGTTACTTCTGCTATTACGGCATCTGTTTACCTTGTTTATTCACTTGTCCATCAAAAGGATGAATGCACGCAGAGAAGATAGACCATTTACATTTCTGATGACTACATCATTGCATAACTCATCAAATGTTCTACATTTTCTGCTCCCAAATGTTTGACCCAAGTCAGCGCCAATGTACTGCCCTACAACTAATGTAAATGTGATATACTAATCCCTCAGATATTTCCACTGCTTGTAGTTCCAACTTTGAATGTACTGCAAAACAAGCAGTGTGATATAAATATAGCATTGTTTAGTCTACCCAAACCCCAACCCCTAAGCCATATTGATGCATAGTTACTCATTACGCCTTTCTAGTGGGTCATGAGACATAATGCAAAAGAACCAATAAGAGGAGCTCAGTGCATCGTGATGATATGATAGGCTGTGACAATAGTGCAAAGCATTAACCTCTGAATGACCCCATCCCAGGAGGTCAACACACATCAAACTACATGTGACCCCACTGTATCCTAATGCACAAAAATGGGACTACTTATTTATTTGTTTGTTTGTTCGCCTTATAGTATTACGAATATGAGTTACAGATTATTGATTAAAGATTAATTTAAAAAGTCTATCAGTTCTAGTGGCTAAGTATTTGAATTTAGGGGAATGAATGAATGAATGAATTTCTGATTTCCACTTTAGAGATGGATAAGTAGATGGTACAGTAAATGGAAACACATTTGAACACTACCTGAGTATATGGTCGACTTCTGATTGGTCACAGGGGTTTTGGATCTTCAGCATGTTGTTCAGAGGTTCATTGATCCACTGAACACCAGTCATCACATGGTCAGCCCTCTCCTGACTCATAGCACTCTGGCTGGAGACGGCAGCTGAGGACATGCTCTGAACACCCAGAGGGGAAAAGTTATTCAGAGGATATCAACAAGCTATTTGCCATAAAATTGTTACAGTATGAATGACACAGCTGACACGCAGCAGGTCCTCCTCAACCTCCACACACACACTCATTGTCCAGTTTTTAACTTTGTGCTGAAGTGTTTCAGAATTAGCAATATTTTCACATACGCTGCCAATATAAGCCTGGACCTCAGACTGTAATAAGCTGAATCACTTCTGCTGGTGCACTACTGACACAGTCACCTCCAGCTGACCCGCAGCAGCGTGGTTGGAGGGGGAGGACATGAGTTAATAGGTCGGCCTCATCTCCTCTCATCCACAGCATCCATCTCTCTTCACCCCCTTCTTCTCACAGACCACTTGCACTGCTTTTTCCTGTCATTACACATTACTGTTCATTCTGAAGACTAACAATGGCTGGCGCAGCTGTGTCCAGTTTACTTGATAAAAACCTTGATTCTTTGTTGAAAAGAAATGATAAAGACAGCACATCTGATTGCTCTGGGTTGTACCAGATTGACTGCCATTGGATTCTGCATGTAACTTCTCTTTTAGACAGGATAATTGGTAGATAAATGTTTGTCTTTGACAGTTTACAATGAAAGGAAAGGTGGGATTTAGTTGATTACTTTTTTATTTAATTATTTTATTTAATTTTTAAATATGTAAATTAGGCATTATTTAATGCTATGTTTCGGTGAAATCTACAGATGCAGACATACTAAATGCAGTAAAATAAACACCTAATGTGTATTTTGGGTGTTTTCGTTCCATTACTCTGAAAAAAGACGCTATGGAAAGAAAATAGGCCAAAATCACAAAATTTAACAGTTCCTTAACTCTTATTTATTCACATTTGAATACACTATACAATGCATATGCTATTTAGAAAAAAATCTATCTTTGACACTAGGGAACTGGCATTAGTTGTAGCATTAACAAATACTACTGAGCAAAAGCACTGATGCACGCCTATTGGTTATAGGCCTATAGGTGCCCTCAGTGACCTCACCAAGACCGTAGTTCATGGTGTCACATCTCATCTTTCTGGCTGTTGTGATACTGTAAAAGCTGAAATGTCAAGGGTCAAGGGTCATGGTCTGTTTTCTGATTGCTATCTTCTTGCCTCCAGCTGCCTCTTCACATTACAGCCTGCTGCACGTTTGAAGAGGCCCCTCACTGTCATTTCCAACCATCAGCACATCAATAATGAATTACATCTCCTTTGTTAGACCTTTGTTTGTTCAACCTTACGCTTAATGCATACGCTGAAGTAAACAGCCAAAGTCTGACACATTAGCAACTGTTAGCCACAGTCAGAGTTTAGAAAGACACATCATTACAACAGTTAATGCAGAATTTTACGAGAAAAGGTTGTGTCTTGTAATGGCAATTTTTAAGAACCTATACAACCTTTGACCTGGTCATTGTAAAACCATACGCAACTGTTAAAGAATCACTAAACATCTCTACATCTCAGTGCCTCAAACTAGATCCTGATCTGGACTCACACTCCACCCGGAACACAGCAGCCGGCACTATGAGAAGACCAGCCGGCACCACGAGCAGCCACAGCAGCCTCAACAACAACGGACGCCACCAACAGAATCCATCCAGGATTCAGGCGCAAAGACACTCAACACAGACTGTGGCAGAATATCTAGCCACACTCACACAGGTCCACAAAACACACACTGGACTTCGGGATCAGAGGCTATAGGGGGGAACAATCCCATATCCCCCTGTGAAGCCCACTGGAGAGACAGTTTCATCCAAGGCATTTAGCCAGAAATCAGTGACATGGTGAAACGTAACTGTGTGACTTGGGACTATGGAAACCTTCAAATTACAACTGGACAATCTACGGGATACGGACAAGGCTGAGGACGTGGCAGAAGAGGTTGGGGCCAGGAGACACCAGCCGATTTACTAGCGGTCGGGCCGGGGACAGTGAAGGACCCATCTGGTTCGGACGCAAGGACTGAGACGAGAGATCCACCAACATATCAGACACGCGAGAGCACTGACACAGATACATTCATATGCAAGACAAAAGCTAGGCTTACAGAAACTGATTTCCCATGGCATTATACGTTATGAGTCAAAACAGAAAATTGATTACTTAGAGATTTATGCTAAATACATGCACAAAGCATATGAAATAATGCCAGAACATACGATCAATGCAGCAAAAAATAAATAACTAAGCATAAATAACTGTCATGTAGTGATGAAATTGAGAAAAACTTAAAGCATTAATTTCTACTGTATAAACACTGTTTTAATCAGCTAGGGAGACACTAGATGTTTCTATTAGGCATTATTCTGATTTCCATTCCACAGGGAATAGTTTTCAAATAGTTTTCTGAGAGTTTTCAAAACAACCATGTTAGTATTAGCGTATGCTTATCAGGTCAGAACTCCCTTCACAGACACACACACACACACACACACACACACACACACACACACACCCAGACACAGACACACTCATATCATGATGTCACAAAACCTACACTGCAGGTCACATATCTCTCTCAGAGCACAAAGAGAGTGTGAGGACCAATGGCTAAGAAAGAGCCAAGATATAACACACTCAAAGTTAATAATGAATAATCGATGTGCTGTCTCAGTGATTGTGGAAAATCCACGTTGTCAAACTCTGTTTCAGGAACCAAACTCAGATCATGACCATGGCCAAATCTAAGCATCACAGGTGGAAGAACTTCAGGTATTGGACCAGAAAATGCAATGAAGCTACTGGGTGTGGAAAGACATCAGATCCCAATGTTGATTTTTTACAAACAAACTGAAGGTATACCATAAAAGATTTTTGCCGTTGTGAACACGAAAGAAAACAGAAACAGTTGAGCTCATTCCAGACATAGAACTTCAAATAACAAATCTGGTAACAATTGATTATAAACTATGTCATGACGTCAAAGACGTCTCTGAAATTCCTGAACTAAGTCAGGTACCATCATGCTTGTGGGCACAAAAACAATTATGATGTAGGTCTAATTAAAGGCACAGTGGCTGTTGTAATAACACCAAATAATCCTTATACAGGACTTGTCCAAATCAATATCCTTAAAAAAAAAAAGGAAACAGTTGAAGGCTTTAAACCTTAAAGTATTTTTGAATCTCTCCTAAAAGCTGGAGTGATTGTTCCATGTATTTAAAAAATCTCCTGTTTGATCTCAAATGTTTCCTGTCATAAAGATCAAAGATGCTGGCCAGCCAAAGGAGTGGATATTTGTTTAGGATTTGGAAGCAGTAAATACTGCAATCCACACATGTGCACCAAATGTTCTAAAACCACACACATTCTTCTCTAAAATTAAATATGAGAGTAAATGTTTTTTTGTTGTTGCTGATTTGGCTAATGCATTTATTCAGCATCCCAGTCGACCCTGCCGTCAGTAGTGGTTAGCATTCTCCTTCAAAGGCAAGATGTTTACAGTTTAACCATTTATGCAATCTTTAACGCAGCATTAAAGAAATATTTTGAATCACTCAATCTAATATGCCATACAGCTAGCTAATCTAAACTGGAGCTTGTCTCTGAAAAGGTCATCTTTCTGGGTCATGTGATCACAGCAGAGGGCAAAACCCTCTCAACCAAACAAATTGAATTAATTCAGACCATTCCACGGCCTGAGACAAAGAAACAGGTAAAGAGTTTTTGACATCCTACTGCAGACAGTGGATCCCACATTGCGCTGAAACTGAGGCACCATTGGCATCAGTGCATGATGGGAAAGGCCTCGCTGCAAAAGGCAAAATTCAATGGACACCGAAAGCTGGGAAAGCTTTTGTTGACTTAAAGCTCCTCTGACATAGGTCTACCAGACTGTAACAAGACATTCACACAGACTGTAGACAAACAGGGGTTAGTTGACTTCAGGACTAATCCAGGACCATGGAGGACGACAAAGACAAAGATAAAAGGCTGTGATAGCATTACGTGACATTTTTGGTTACACTGACCTGACTTTACTGGTTACACATGAATTTTTTCAATTCAATTCAATTCAATTTTATTTGTATAGCGCCAATTCATAACAGAAGTTATCTCAGGACACTTTTCAAATAGAGTAGGTCTAGACCGAACTCTTTATAACATTATTTACAGAGACCCAACAGTACCACCATGAGCAAGCACTTGGCGACAAGGGCAAGGAAAAACTGCCTGTTAAAAGGCAGAAACCGAGGACAGATCCTCCGGCTCTAGGTGGGTGGTCGTCTGTCTCGACCAGTTGGGGTGAGAGAGAGAGAGAGAGAGAGAGAGAGAGAGAGAGAGAGAGCGAGAGAGAGACAGAGAGAGAGAGAGAGCAAGAGACAGACAGACAGACAGGTGCACAGCAACAACAGTATTGGCAATGGCAATCTAGCAGGACCATGGCAGGAGGCTCCACCAGGATCCATGTGAACCTGCGAGACGAGAAAGCACAAGAACTCCGGGGAAGAAGTGAAGTTAGTAACATGCATTAATGGAACATGAATGAGTGCAGAAAGAGAGAGGAAGAGAGGAGCTCAGTGCACCATGGGAAATCCCCCGATAGTCTAGGCCTATAGCAGCATAACTAAGGGATGGTTCAGGACTCACCTGATCCAGCCCTAACTATAAGCTTTATCAAAGAGGAATGTCTTAAGCCTTGAAGTGTCATGAAGTGTCAATGATTCTACTTGAAGAAAAATTATCATTTTCCAACAGCAATGTAATAAGATACTATCACCAAAGTTAAAATATGAAATTGTTATTAACTCTAACGAGGTACTTTTCTCCAAGCTCCAGGTGACAGCTGCATGAACGAGTTGTAACCCAAACAAATTGCTATCTGAACATGCCAATGTATTGCTTTGACTAACTCACCATAAACACCTATAGTTAATTTGCAGGAATTGCAGGCAACAGAGGAACTCCAGAGAAGAAAGCTTTCATTCACTTACAAAGTGTGGCAAGTGCCATTTACCAAAATATCTATTTCCCTACTATCATAGGTTGACACATGGGAAGGACCAAGTGTCAAAAGGGGGTATGGTGAGGGAAATACAGAAATATAGTTTTACACAGGTTCTCCAATTTCTCCCATTTTGCCAAAGTTGTGTTATTTGTGTATGTCTAACAAACTGATTTCATTGAACTAACACCTAGTGGGGGAAAGAAATATTGTCTCATCATTGTTGATATGTTTTTAAGATGCAACAGCGGTTGCAAAGACGCTAAATCAAGGAAAAAATGTTTTAAATCAAGGGATAATCTTTCATAAGTCTCATAAGTTCAGCACTGAAAAGTGTAGGCATGAGACATGCATCATGCCTAACAACAAAAAAAGAGAAAATGGCACATTAAATAATTTATATTAAAGTATTTCTGATTCTGATCCTGATTCTGATTAGAAAACAAATTTGTAAAATGTTGCATAGGAACAGGTTTGACGCGGACAAAAAGCACTACTAATTGTTTTAATGCACACAAGGGCCAGAGTAAGGAACAGAAGTGGTCTCCGCCCATTTGAAATCCTATTTAGGAGACCACTAAACACTGGGATTGGTCCTGTTTAAAAGTAAACTCCCTGACACCGGCCAATGGTAAAATGAAATGCTGTGTTATTGTGCAAACATGTCCCCTGTGCTTATATCCACAAGCAGCTGAAAGAAGCCATACCAAAAGCTGCTGAGAAAAACTAAACGACCAACACCAGGCGATGGGATCGTGATGAAGTTACTCCTCACAATGGAAACAGCAGTAATAATAATAAGAATAATAATAAGAAGAAGAAGAAGAAGAAGAAGAAGAAGGAGAACTTTATTTGTATAGCACTTTTAAAAACATGGTTTACAAAGTGCTTTGGCAGAACACAGCAAGAATACAATTTACAATTACAAAGGACAATAAAATAAATTGTATGAAATAGTTGAAATAACAGAGGTAATGATACAGATTAATAAAGTAGGTGAAATAATAGAGATGGAATAAAATAAAGTAGGCGAAATAAGAGAAATGGAATAAATAAAATAAGTAGAACAGAACTCAACGACGGTTGGAGTAAAAATAAACATAAAAGGACCACATCACATAAAGGTAAGTCTATAAAAATGGGTTTTAAGAAGTGATTTAAAAGGTCCCTGAGAGAGCAACTTGGATCCATAGCAGCCACTGCAGACTCCCAGAAACGAGATCAACATCAAACATGCATCAAAATCAGGAAAGCCAAAGAATAGGGCAAAAAGGGAGGTGCTACGAGCATCTCTGGTAGTCCAACCAAACCTGACACAGTGTATCTGAGAAGACAGCTGCATCAAGCAAAGAAACCAGTCCAACGAACGAGGGGTGAAAGAGCGCCCTCCTCCACCAGTAGCATGCCAAGCTCCAACAAAGTGACGTGCAGAGTGAAGCTCTGTGTCACCTACGAGGGATCAGCGATGGAACCCAGATCCTCAAGAACATTTCAGATAACATGACTAATGATGTTTCTCACCATAATGACTTCCTGCATGAAGAAGAAAGTAAGGAATGTCGGGCTCCAGAAGGATGGAGCATATGTGCCTGACTGACCACAGGCGAATTTTAAAATACACTGGTAAAAGTGTTAAGACCTTTGATTACTATCTTGGTAATGTTTAATATTTTGAGATGTTGTATAATCCCTTACACTAAAGCTCTAATTATCACTGTGGTTAAATCTTTGCTAGTATGTGCAAATTCCCGCAAGAATCTCCACATCTTTAGAATAGATTACATTGGTTAAGATTTGAATGAAGTGAATAATCTGATTTTTTCTTATTTATATTCCCTATTTTTCCTATCTTTGTAAAATCACTCATGATTATATCACATAAATGTATCATACATAACCAAAATCACTGCTATTTGATGATGATAAAAAACTCTTGATTGATTTTTTCCTATCATCCATGGATGTTTTGACTGTTTGTTTAGTTCTTAAAAAATACTTAGTGAGCATAAAAATGCTCAAAGGGAGGAATGTAATGGCAATTTTTAAGAACCTATACAACCTTTGACCTGGTCATTGTAAAACCATACACAACTGTTAAAGAGGCTATTATATGCATACAACCTTTAGCCCTGTTTCTAACTACACTCTATGTCCAAGTAAACAGTGGGATGTTGAGACTTCACTAAGAGGCCAAGGACATGATCATCTCACCACACTATCTGTCTGTTTACTGTCCCAGAACTCAGGAATGTGTAACTGTGTGCTCCAACAGGGATAAAACCATACTGCTTCTGCCAATCGAGGCTCTTTCGGACTTTCACATACGAGAGTGTGTGACGGTTGCGTTGAGACCATTCATGGATGACTTGAATAAAACCTTACAGAAAGACAAGATCATACTTTGCATACTTTTTTAAACAAATTGCCACCACAGTCTATAGCCAAAAAGGTCAAATGGGACTCATGAATTTTACCTTTTCCTTGTTGCAGACGATGCAGAAGACCTCTGTCTGGATGGATGGTTGTCCTCTTGCATCATAAACCTCCCTTCCCTTCAGTCTGCTGATCCTTGGTGGTGCAGAGAGGTTTGTAAAGTAATTTGCCTAAAGTGAATGTTTAAAGTTTATGGTTAAAAAAAAATGTTCTCCTGCATTCTTTTTACATTTCAATGTATGTGATTCTTTCAGCCATTGAGCCAGTGTCAGAACTCATGCCCTTGATTAGCAAGCAATTAACAACTACAATTTAAAGAGTAATTTAGATCTATCAAACAGAGATTTGTTTTATACTGCTGGACATTTTCCATAGCAAAAATACTTGTTACTGTTACATTCAGGGACAATGTACTTCTACCACCAAGGATGTTAATACACACAGTATAAACTCTGGACCAAACAACAAAAAATGTCTAAAACCTAGAATCTTTTTATTGAATTCTCTTGTAATGCAATTAAATTACAATGACAATATTTTTCAGACATTTTGAACCTCGTTGAGAGACCACACACAAATTCTGCCAGTGTTCTGCCTTAAAGTATCTCTTGTTCTTGGTCATTAAAACCAACTTGTACACAAAAATGAACCTTCTCACTAGGGCAAAATGTATCGAAATATTATCAAAATTGCAATATCGCCATGTCTAATATGCAAATTGCAGAAGCAAGATACAAATTGCAAGAGCTGCAACATTTGATGAAGATAAAATGTGGTACTGTACTACAAGCACAAGTGCTGCAGAGATGCCCTGGTCTACAAATCTCGTTCTCTGGGTCTTAGGAAAACATGTTTGTTTGGTACAAACCGCCAGACACCAAAAATTCACATTAACACATGATTTTAATCAGGTTTTTGTGAAAATTGAATTTGTAATGCAAAAATAAAAAATCATATCGCAATCACATATCTGTCAAAATAACCACAATAGATTTTACCATATCGTGCAGCCCTACTTCTCACAAAATCTGCATTTATATTGCACTTTACAATCCGGCTCTCATTCCCACACACACACACACACACACACACACACACACACACACACACACACATTTAGTGTGGTGGCTGCAATTTAATTACAAAAGAAGCAACACAGAAATGTTATATGTTGGATTATGTAGACTGACCAAAACATGTTCAATATTTCTTGTTTTCAATAAATAAATTCAATAAATTCTAACCTCTAGTCCCCACAAAGCCAATTAATTCACTAAAATGTTACAAGGTGAAAATAGAAGCCTACAAAATAGTTTTCCACTTTCCATAGTTTTTAATTTAACAATTTTCCCTGAGAAATATTTAATACACAACCAATGTCACGTGGACACATAGTTCCTGAAGAATTTTGCTAGGAAAAAAAGCTTTTCACTATTAATTACTGTTTCCATGACAACCACCCCAAAGCACTATGAGCTTCCATTGGGGTGATCTGTGTTGCATTTGAAGCTAACAGCCACCGAAAAAAGTTTGACAAACTGAATGCCCTTTCCTCAAAAATGAAGAAAAAAAGGTAATACTAAGGATAAATATAATGTTATTATCTTGATCCAAAATTCCAAACTATTAAAATATTTCATACTGGAAATGTTTATTACAAAGCTAAAAACTCCAGATACGTGTGTGAAATCATTTATAAAATCTTCTAAAGCCCAAAAGCCCAAAGCTGGCCCTCCATAAGGTTTGATGTGGCCCGCCAGATGTTTAATAAATCGCTATTTAGGCTGTTTTATTTTTTGTGAAGTAAAATGCTCTTTAAATATGTATATATCTCTAATGGACCTTTTCCACAGCAGCCATTTTGTCACATGAAATAGTAGGCTAAACACAGGTGACACTCATTAAAGTTCCATTCCTTTCAGGTCAAACAGAGTCCATGGTACTGCTATTGGCTCCCTGGAAAGGCTCTGCTGAACTAAATGGACCTTAAAGGTCCACTGTGTAACATTTAGGAGGCTCTATTGTCAGAAATGGAATATAATATTCATAGGTCATATTTTTTTTCTTGGAAGGTTGCAATGGTTGCAATCTGGTCCTTCAATCGACCCTTTCTAAGTCCCGCCTCTTTTTACTCTCTGCTCCAATAACAGTTGAGCATGCCTCGGTCAGAACCTTGTCAACTTCCTCCTTTCCGGTACGGCTAATCTATGTTGAAAAGACAACCACATTTTGAAGATGGGTCAATTAGTATCAATAGTAACACGTGCTTACCCTACTGTTTCATGTCAAAATGACTGCTGTGAACAAGGTCCATTAGACTTTAGACTTTTATGTTTCAATTCTGTTTACTTCTGTCTTCTCTGCTTAGCTTTCCCCCTTTTTCTGCTCACCTCTTTCCAAGCTATCTTCTTTGTGTCAGACAAGTGTGATAAGATATAAGAAGAGGAGACGACACCCCTCGTCAGTGGAAGGTGGAAGCCACTGGTTCCCAACATGGGGTCCCTAGGTCCACTAGGACATGGGGTGTCGTAATGCCTTCTTGATTCTAAAGGGTGTATGAGAAAAATATACAGCTATCCTATATTTCAGCATTTTGTTCATTTCTGGGACGAAAACTAAATGAAACAGTTCTTTTAAAGGTTGAAAAACTCTTCCTGCAGTTATTGTGCTTGGATTCATTGTACAGTTTAACAGTTGTTCTCTACTGTTATTGTTCTGCATTGAATATGATATGAAATATACAGAAAATATGTCACTTAGTTTACTCAAAAGGGAGAAAAGGTTGGCAACCAGTGGTGTGAGCTAGCAGTTAGCTAATTAAGCTAGTTTTGCAGGTTGAGGTAGGCTGGAAAATGTCTGTCAGTAACGTTAACTAAGAAGGAAAATAGAGATAATAATTTCTCACTCACTCACTCTCTCACTCAGTAACGTTCACTCACTCACGCTGATTTCTTTTATTTGGGGGTTCATACACATTTAACGTTAGGTAACGTTAGTTGGGAGTATTGTTGAAGCACTTGAAGGTAGCCCCAGACAGCAGGGAAACACCACGTGAGCTTTAAGTCTCCAAACTGTTAACTGTGTTTAGCTAGCTGTGCACTCATCTGTTAGCTAGCTAACGTTAGCTTACAGCAGGGAAACGAACTCCTACCAGGTAACCGTGAATGTCCTCGGGCCGGTGGAAGAAGAGCTCGTTCAGAGCTCTCTCCACTTCCTCGGGGATTCTGTTGACCCGGTAAAATTCTGCAGCTGCATTTTGAATGTCGCAGAAGTCCTGCTCCTCCTTAGAGAGACGGCTGATAAACCCTCGGTGAGACATTGTCTAACGTTAGGTATCTTCACTCTGCTTGTAGTCTTTGTGGTGTCCGTTACCATAGAAACCACCCGTTCAAGTGACAGCGACAGCCCAGGAAATCAGAGTGACGTCGCGCGCGGCCTCCTTCATTCATTTACCGGTTGGTCTGCTGTTCAGGAATACAAACGGAATCTCTACAGTTGTGTTACCTCGCAGGACTGAAAGTGAGGCTGTGATAGACTTTTGAATGAAGTTATTTTCTTCCCCTTTTCCCTGTATCGCTGGGTCTTTTTTTATGTTGTCTTTTGCGTGTCTTTGTGTGGCTTGTAATTATTGTATATGATATTATTTTTAAAAAACAAAGAAAAACTAAAAATCTAAAATGGATGCCTGTATTCTTTCCATTCATTTACTTACCTGACAGGTGAGTTGTGGAATGTTCACTGTCATGACCGCTTTGTAAAGCACCACAAAGTAAAAGGTCATTATTATAATTGAAGAATTATAATTGGTAACTATTCCTCATTAACAGTAAATTATCATTAATAACAAACATGGATGAATAAAACCAGTGGTGCCTGGAAGGGAGAAACATATACAAAAAAGTGTACAGTGGAAATTAAAGAATCAGACACACACACACACACACACACACACACACACACACACACATTCCACTGAGGTCAAAACATTGATAAAAACAGTGCTGAAGTGATAAAGTAAAGTAAATGTGATTTGAAGTGAGTAGCTTAACTATGCAAAAACTGTGGTATGGTCCTTTAACACAGGCAATTATTTGTCCATCAGAGGACATTTGTAATACAAAGCTAACAGTATGACGATTTAAAGGGCTCCCAACATCAGATTTTTTTTTTATTAACTAAAAGCAACGTATCAATTCAAATGTATATGTTTTATATTTCTCCCCATGAAGATTTGCCAGATGAATGCTCTTGCAAACAATGAAACGTGAGATTAGGCGTGTGAAGACAATATTGTATGGCAGTAATTTGTTTTGTGAAATTGTATCGATTCTCAAAAACACTGTATCAATGTTTGTGTTTAAACCCCCAAACACTAGATAGCAGTGTTTTATCAGTTTTCATTCATATGGTGGTGGTGTTCTTTATACTGTAAAAGTTTTCAAAAATTGCAATATATCACTTTGCTTACAGTATCACAATATATTGAACTGTGATACCTGTATTGTGATACATATTGTATTGCCAGATTCTTGTCAATACACAGCCCTGTATCTGTGATACAAGTAGTATTTAAGAAGTAAGTAGGATAAAACTTTAACTAAATTTAATAAGAGATTCAGTGAAGATGGGTATGAGATAACATAATGTGCAGGGGTGTGTTTTGTCTCCCTGCTTTCTTTTGCTTTCTTTTTGGGGGATGCTATTGTATGTGTATGTCTGAATCTGTCTTCTTTTTTGTCTGTTGTTGTTGTATTTGTGTTTGTTCAGATGTAAAATAAAGAATCCATTATACATTCATTGGACAAAAAACCCCAACAAATAATAATTTATTTACGACTAACACAGTGAATTGTGTAGGTTAACTCCTGTAGGTTTGGAGCATTATCATTATCAGACATGATGGGTCATGATTGCCAAGCTAAAAATCATCCATTCAGGGGCGGATCTAGAGGGGTGGCAACCCTAAAAAATGTCTGGCCACCCCACTACCTGAGGCTACTATAGGATGTCATTTAAGTAGTGAGTAGGATATGACTATAACTAACTTTAATAAGAGATTCAGTGCAGATGGGTGGGGAGGACTTGGGAGGAGTTTTGTTTTGTTTCCCTGCTTTTTTTTTTTTTGCTTTCTTTTTAGGGGATGCTGTTGTATCTGTCGTCTTTTTGTCTGTTTTTGTTTTGTTATTTGTTTGTTAAGATATACAATAAAGAATTTATTATACATTTATTAGCTAACAAAGAACTAGAACAAAAAACAAATGTTTGAATGTTGTTATTAATTCATTTAGCTAATATTTAGGACTAACTCTTGTAGGTTTAGAGCATTATCATTATTATAGCCTATTTGGCCTTTTATCAGACATGGTGGTAAATGGTAAATGGACCTGTACTTGTATAGCGCCTTTCTTGTCTTCCGACCACTCAAAGCGCTTTTACACTACGTGAGACATTCACCCTTTCACAGACATTCACACAGTGATGGCAAAGTCCATCGAACAGAAACTAACATTCAAACACACTCACACACTGATGCACGGCATCGGGAGCAATTTGGGGTTCAGTATCTTGCTCAAGGATACTTCGACATGTGGCACCAACCACATCGAACCAACAACCTTCCGATTAGTGGACGACCGCCCCTCTGGTCACTCCTGTCATGATTGCCAAACTTAAAATCATCCATTCAGGGGTCGCTCTAGAGGCCGCAGCCCTAAAACATGCCTGGCCACCCCAGTGTGGTGTTAAATGTAACACATTTTAAATTAATTTTAAAAATAGTATTAAAAATAGGAATTATCATATATACTTTAATAATCTGTTATGGCCACGTTTTAAACTCAGTGATAGGCTTAAGTTAATTGAAAAATACTTCTGAAAATGTCTGAAAATGTCTATTCAGTGCTTTACTGATGTGCCACAATAATGTTATTGAGTTCAGATATCTTAATTTGGGGGCTTAGCAAATATTGATACATGTGATTATTTGCAATCAAATTAGCATATATTTTTGCCACCCTTTGGCTGCCCCTTGAATATTTATCCAGGTCCGCCCCTGCATCCATTTCTCTTCCTCACTGTCCTGTGATGGTGTATTCAACAGCAGCCTATTCACCCTAACACTATCTATATTCTGTTTAATGGAAATGGTCAAAATAACAGATGGCCGTCAGCTGCAAGCAACTTCTTCACCAGTACAAGTACTGGAAATAAGACCGTACAGGAACAAGCCTCCGCTGCACGCACGCACGCACGCACACACACACACACACACACACACACACACACAACACACACACTCTCCGCCCTCAGAGGTTGCATTATTTGGAAGGCCTTAACCCCGGCGCGCTTCATTACTCGCAGTGTCAAGTTATTGCCAGGCTGTGAATTGGACTCACAAACATTCAATCTCACCACTAATACACACAAGGCCATATAGGGGCAGCTGAATTCCTAACTTTATAACTATTTGGCAACAAAAACACACAAGAGCATGTACACAATAGCACGAGAAAGTTATGTGCTGAAAATCTTTCTTCCCATTGTGATCCAAGGCGTTGTTGCTGCGGGAGCTCCCGTTTTATTTTGAAAGGGCAGTCAGCAGGATAATAATAATTATCCCCAGCAGAAGGTTTTGAAGCTATAGAAAAAACAACCAAAAACATGAAATCATCATTTAAATTTCTAACAAATATTCCCTCCACTTGCTGCGAAAATACAGGAGTTGAACCCTTGAACTGTTTGTAACCTTAATTACCCGAGGGAGGCCGTCACACACCCACAGTGAACTCTTGACTTTCAAGTCCTGTTCTCTCTCACACACACTAACACCTATTTAAGCCACAAACAGCAGCAGTGGCAGCAGGAGGAAGAGTATGGCTCTTATTGTTTCAGGCCGGATCCTGTGGGCCCCTGCACGTTTTATATAGAATACATCAAATTCACTTGGGCCTTTTTTTTCCCTTTTGTTTTAGTTTGCAGTGTTTTTTTTTTTATTTATTAGGGAAAAGGTGAACATGCATGCACAGAGCTTTCCTTTTCAAACGCACCACGTTTGATTTGTTAAGAAATGTCTGAGATGAGTCTTCACAGTGATTGGAAAACTGGACTCACGTGTGTTTCTGTTTTTTAAGATTTTATTTAATTTCTGGTGATTTATGATATTTATTCACCTTTTCAGTGTCTCGGTGAAGACTGGACACGCACTTCTGTGTAGATTTTACATTTAGATGCGTTTGAGGTGACACAAAGAGCAGCTTGGACGCGGAGCGCGGATCCGCTGTGCAGACACAGCGCAGGATGAGCGAGTCAAGGGCTCCTTCATACACTTAAAGAGGTTTAAGGTTGAACTCTGGGAACAGAAAAACACGCCTGTCCTCCTGGAATTCTGCCCGGCCACAGTGTCAGTTTCTGACTTGAACATCTTTCATTTTATCCTCCACATTTAAGGCCAACCTATGTCTTTAAATAGCCAGTCTGGCCTTTTTCTGCGAGTCCACATTTATTTCTTCCAGTTTGAAATTGAAGACCGCAGACATAAAATGTAAGTGTAAACATAAAGTAAAATAAATACATAATAATAACTCAGTAATACAAATAAAATACACATAGGCTTTTTTAATACGATTTTAAACATTGCTGTTCTACCATTTGCAGACCATACATTGTCACTAATTGGAATTTCTGACGTTTAAGGCCTACGTGCTTTTGCCTGAAGTGTCTCTAATTATTATCCATTAATTAAGGATTAATCCTTATGTTTCTATACTCCACCACACATCACATCTCTCACAGTCAATCACGTAAAAACATTTTGAGATTCTAGAAATGAATACAAACAATTCAAATGGAGCGTGCCCGCTAAGCGAAGCATCACTGAGGGCGTATTACATTCTATTAGGCTATAATACAGTAAGATAATAATAATATAAAAATACATTCTTATTATTGTTATGATATACAAATGTATTATTATTGTTGTTATTGTAGTTATTATTATTACTATTATTTTTTATGTTATTATTATTACTATTATTATATATTCGAGAGGTCGAGACTACTTTTCATGGCCATGTAATAATAACAAACGTAAATAAATTAATAAATATATGTTACGTCTTCCTAATGCATAAAATGATTTTTTTTAAATTGTTTTTTGGTTCCTTCCACATGGCGTAATTGAAGATTATAAAGATGGGGTGTCTCAGGAGGCTACAGCAGGACAGGAAGTCAAGCAGACAGAGGGGACACCGGCGACCAGCGAGCGGCGGCTCAAACCCAGCCCGTATTTCTGCACTGACAGACACACATGGTGTCTGCCTCACAGGGAAATGAGCATTAAGGACGGAACGTCTTTATCCTCATGGCTCTGGCACCGTGCGGGGGTTCACAGCCATGTTTGATGCCAGCACA